ATCTGAGTCAAGTTCCCACAAAGTGTACACTTCGCAGGACATGGAGACGTTCCTGAGCAGTGCGATATCAAGCAAGTCAGGACTCAAATCCCCACGGTAGAACGTGGGCTCATCTGGATCAATCACTCGATACTCATGCTTGTCAGCATGCGTATGGGGCGCTCGGCCGTCCGCAATGGTGAGTCTGCTCCACAGATTGTGCTTGGCGTTGAAGTCACCAGCAGCAATTGTGGGGGTATTTGTCGACATCAGCAGTTCATCCAGTAATTCTGGGAGTAGACGATTCCTCGGAGGGTTGTAAACTGATATTAGTGTATGACGACTTCTCTCAGATGGAGCTCAACGCCATACTTCTTCCGTGCCATGTAACTGACCCGAGTCAATGCCGAATCGAACATAAGGAAGGTAACGTTTGACGTTTGACAAAAATGCCAACTTCTTCTCTAACGCGTTCTCTGTAGTAAAAATGGTAGTTTGGAATACCAAAAGGTTCATTGTGCAGGTGGGTTTTCTGCACCAGTGCAACATCGATGTTTTGTTGTATTGCAAAATTCTCAAAATATAATTTCTTGTTTGAAATACTGTTGGCATTCCAAAATGCAACCTTAAGAGAACTAGGCAATGTTGGTTGTCTAGCCATTAACAAGTTCCAGTTAACACGTTGGTGTTCACCGTAAACATTTTTTCGAGTATGGGGAACTGAATGAAGAGTTCCTTCGTCTGGTCCAGAGCGGAACAGATGTCACTAACTTTCGACAGGCGGGGACTTCTGGGCGCCTAGGTCGGCCTGGCGGAGGTGTTACGACTCTTGGCCGCTCCTGCGTAGCTCATTCCCGTACGTGTGCCAGATGCTCCGGCGAACCCTGGGGAACACAGGACAATGGCGGTAGTTTGCAGTATGCACAACCCTTGCAACTATTGCACTTGGGCGTATCTGCTCGTGGCTTCTTGCACTCACTTGAAAGGTGTCTGCCGGCGCATTTGACGCAAATGGGAATAGCTAGGCAGTTCCGTTGGCCATGCCCGAACCGATGACATCGGTGACATTGTCCTACCAGTGTCTTTTAGTGTTGGGGCTCAACCTTAACTTTAACGTTAAGGAGATCCCGGACGTCATAAATATGCTTCTGATTTTAGTTTACTTGAACCAAAACCAGGGGGAGCGGTTGATTTCCTCGCATCATCCTGGTGACGGATGATGGTTGGAAACCTTTTTCAACCAAGGCGTCCTCGATGTCAGCAGTCTCTAGATGTTCCGGGACTGTTCTGGAGACGGCCTGCCTTCAGGTAAGGTATACGTGTGGTGGGGGATTTTTTCCCTCACCAATAATTTGGACATACTCCTGTAGTCCTCGGCCGAAAAAGGCTGAACCTTGATGTCGTCAGCCATGTTTACTGCCTTGGTAACGTTTACTTTATGGAAGGCAGCCAGCTTTGTGAATTTAACCCACTTGTCCTTCTGGCGAACGACAATTGGGAGAACGCATGTTTTTCTGGTGCTTTGGAGCACCTCAGGACGTGGAGGAAGAGGGGAGCTACTTCCCTGATCGTTGGTGTTTTTAACCTGATTAGATTTTGGGGTGGCTGTTTTGGGCCACCCTGTATAGTCAAAATCGATTTTTAGACCTATTGTCGTCAACCAACATTTCATGATCACCTTTCACGGAAGACTCTGTTGTTGAGAGTTCTTACTCTGAAGTGTTGTTCTTGGTTTCGTCCCGGAGCTTTGACATCTTTTTAGCCACTTTTTTTAACTTGTTGCTGGTATTTTTGTTTACTGAAGCGACTGGTTTAGATGATAGAGGAGGAAACTCTTCTGGACGAGGACGCTTTTTGTTGGCCGGTTCTTGAGGCTTGATCGTATTGCCGTCTTTGTTTGTCTCAGACTGAGCAGAGAGGGTGGTGCCGACGGAAGTATATCTGGAGGATACATTCCGTGACGGACGCTCGAGAAGCTCCTTGGCTCCTGGTGGAGGGTCAGAGGGCTCCCGAACTGCCGCCTCGGGGACAGCTCTGATGGACTCAGGCCCAGGCGATCAAGCAATAAACCCATGAAGGTAATTACTTCACCCCTGTCCCGGGCCATCAGGTTGTCAAGCAGTTCCTCCATACTGCTGTCGGAAAACTTACACCCGTTGATATCCCAAGGGTAGGTGATGAAGAACTCTGTGAAAGTGATAGTTTGAACGCACTCACCAGAAGTCTGGAGGGTCCTTGCGCACTACAACCAACGCACTCACTAATAGGAGAGATGTAACTACTGGTGAATGGCTGATCATCCACCAGAAATAGTCGTTTTTGTGGAAAAAAAAACTTCGAAATTATCGCAGCGAAACATTGGCTTCCTGGACGTGGCCTACAGTCTCCTGGCCGTACCTTTATCCGCCACCGGGAGACGCGCCCAATTCAGATTCCTACGGCTGGGATTTAAACGATGACATGAGTAGATTGAACTCATTCGTGACATAAATTTTATAAAAGAATTGAGGGATTTTTTTCTTATAATGCTATCCAGATTTGGTGCTGAAGAGGTAATAAGGCGAGTGTCTTATGCCAAAACATCGGATATCCACCAGTGAAGATGACAGTATTCCATGTAAGTGGAATTTTTTCTTTTTCTTTGACTATATTGTGTAGCAATCCTGTGAATGATATCTGATTCAATTTCATAGCGAATGTTTGGAATACAACCTGAATAGAGTAAAGTGTTTTTGTATAATTCAGTGTTCATAAAAAAAATATACGTTTAAAAAGTATTTTTCTTTCGTCGTGTAATTCAGTGTTTGCATGATCTGTAAAAATATTTCTGATATGAACTCGATGTCCATTCTCGCGCCCTTTTGATGGCCTTGAGGTTTCACCACTTCAACTTACTACAAGAACAAGTTATACGATGAATGCAACTTTTTCTTTTTCTTGTATAATGTCGGATTTTGTATGTGTTTTGAGGAGGTTAAGAAAACGATTTAGTAAGAAAAATCCCAGGTAGATATTAAATTTTTCCAATTCAAAAAATGCAGGTAGATTTTCAGCCACTTGTCATATGTTTTTTTAATCAAACATACAGTTTCTGATATGAAGGGAACTACAACTTTCTTTTGAATACCGGCTTGATGAATTGGAATTTTTACTCGTCTTCAGCTTCTCATCAGCACATTTTCGAATTTAATTCTTGCAAAAAATTAGTACTTTATGTCGTCAAAAAAGCCATATCTGCCTCTTATCACAATGATAGCTCCTAAAGAAACTTCCACGCAGTTGGTTGATTCAATCCCAGTCGAAGGAATACCTACTATTCATTTGATTAGTTTTTCGGAAAAAACCTTTTGACTTTATACCTCTCCATTATTGAAGAAAAGAGGAAAATATTTAAATAAATCATTACAAATTCTTCACAAAGATGTCTAGATCACGCACAAAGTTTGCTCTCAGATACGAACACAATGATGAGTTTTTTCTCCATCCACACAGATTAAAAGGACACTCTTCCAATCCCTTGATCCTTAACATCGTTCTGGAAAACCGCAGTTTATTTCGTCTTTTAACGAGGTCTCAGGGTACCACTCGGACCATCAATTCCGATCTAATTTCGGATTTATGGCGGTTAGCGCGAAACGGGACCACCGATGCGATTCATTCCGGATTATTTATCGATGCATGGCCTCCCCGATAAATCCGTCACTCGGGTGCAGCAATTAATTAAAAACACCGTGGAATTACCTCAGAAATATGCGATTAATTACGGAATGAATGGGAAATGTGGGGTCAAATAGATCTGAGGTACGACAAATGCGGGAAATACAAAAAAATCGATTCCGAGTTGGTCGGTGTAGTTTAAGTTCACAGTTGCCATTTCACAAATACGTTTTCATTCAATGGAGAACATTCTAGTGGATGATCATTTCTAAAACTCATTGTATGAATTTTTAGAGTTTCAGAAAAGGTCTTAATTATTTCATGATCAATTCATTTCTTCATAACAATTTTTCAAACAATAAGTTTTGTCAAGTTTTGAGACAAAACATTCAAGATACTTGAAAAAAATAATTTTTCAATTATCCATTCAGTTTTTTTTGACATCTTTTTATTTCAATAAAATTACACATCATGAATCTTCCTATGCCTTCAAAGAATAACTCCAAAATAGAGAAAAAATCCAGGCATCAACTTTTAAAATCATGAAGATTTTTATGTAAATGTTCTACTTGAAGAAACTTTTGATTAACAAAAATATAACTGAGGGAAAAATTACGGTAAATTTTTTTGTTGACGGATTACTGTGGGCTGTTACAAAAAAATATTGGATGGGGAACCCCATGCGACACGGTCTCTGTAAACCAAACCATAAATTTTTTTCGGGAATTTCCCCAATTCATTATATGTCTATTGATCAAGGCTGCAAAAGGAAATCATTTTAGAATCTAAAGAGTGGGTCAAAAAAGTGTGACGTATCGAAGTTGTGTTTTTTTAATGGAACACTCTGTATTTCGTTATGCTTTTCAATAGGTCGATTTTTTTTATGGATATGCTAGGTACAATTGGAAACTAAATAACATCGAAATGTATAGAAAATATCCCTTCGAATTCTGACCAAGCGTAAAAGGAGTTTTGACAATTTATTTCGATAGAACCCGTTTCTCAGTATCATACAGAACTTTGAAAAATCATTGTTATTTTTTTTATAATTTCGGACAAAGATACCTTTGTTATTTCAAATAGAACATCCTGTATTTTCTTGGTCTCAACAAAATTTGACTAACAATGTCATGTAGCAAAATTCTGAGTACTACTTGATCTTTTATTCTCTTCATTAGATATATTTCAGTATGTATGTCTCATCTTCTTTCACTGGTGACCTATACCAATCGAGGCTGGTGGTTCCCAGGGAGTTATATTTGCTTCAATCCGTTTTCTATTATACGTTTATGGTTCTGCAGGCTATGCAATATTTAAACATTTACCAATACCGTACTTATTTCTATAACTTTTTTCGCTTCCAGGCAATGAAAATTCTCTCCAAGAAGAAGCTGCTCAAGAAATCTGGAATGTTCAGCCGCCTGCCCCCCGCCCGTAAAGACAGCCGTTCCGGTTCCTCCCCCGTTAACCATCCTTTGCAAAAAGTGTACCGTGAGATCGCAATCCTCAAGAAACTGGACCATCCGAACGTTGTGAAATTAGTAGAGGTATTGGACGACCCGGTAGAGGATCATCTTTACCTTGTTTTCGAACTGCTGGAGGGCGGACAAGTATTGGAAGTACCGACGGATACGCCACTGGATGAGGAAAAAGCATGGACGTACTTCAGGGACGTAGTTTTGGGGATTGAATATCGTGAGTGTTCTGAAGTTGATGTATCCAATTGTCTTTGACTGAAAAAGTTTATATTTACATTGCATCAACTATACTGAAGCATAAGAGTACCTTAATAGACATAACATTATTCGACCTTAATCTGATATAATATAATTACAACTGTTAAAAAATTTGACAAAACTAACACTGAAAAAAATGCATATTACTGAAGAAAGTGTACATTTTCAATATGTCAGATACAATCTATTATATGTAGGTCTGAGGAAAATATCTTAATTGAAAACTAAACGGGTAGAAATAATCATAAACAAATATCGTTTGAAAGGTCTCTTCATTACCTATTCAAAAATGTTATTGTTTTAAAGTTCATTGCATTCGATAAAATATACTCAAAAGCTGAAATGTAATGCAAAACGTAATGAAATGTAGAATACGAAAAAGAACTATAAATGTTAACATTATTTCGGACATTATTTAACATATCAGGCGTGGCCGACCTAATCGCGAGCGTTATTCGTTTTTTTAGTCATTCAAATCTGAAGGTTTAGTTTTGTACACATTGCTCTTCACATATCTCCCTCGAAAGAAATCTAATGATGAAAGATCAGGTAATGGCGCTAGCTATTCAATCGATCCACGCCTCCCTATCCACCGATTGGGAAATGTTGTATCGAGGTATTGCCGGATATTAACTTGGTAATGAGGTGGTGCTCCAACTTGCTGAAACCATAACGTATTCACTGGAACTTGAGGGTTTCCTGGATCAGGATATAAATTTGCTCAACTTGGAATGACATCATTTTGAAGTAGTGCCAAATAATTATCCCCATTCAAGTTGCCCTCAATGAAAATGGGACCAGTGATGTGGTTTCCTACAATCTCTGCCCAAACATTAGTCTTATGAGAGTAGTGTATGTGTTTTTCTCTCATCCAGTGATGATTTTCCGTTGACCAGTAGCGGCAATTTTGCGTCTTCTAATTGGATCATAATGTTATCAACATGCCCATGATTTTCTCACAAAAATAAGTTCTTCTATCAAAATCGCCTTCTATGAGATTCTGAGTAGGTATCATTTTCTAAGGATGCATTTTATTTCTTCTAGTATGTTTACTATTGATGTATGGCTAACGTTGAATTTAGTGGATGCCTGCCTACTGGATGTATGTGGGTTTTTACTCAAACTCAAGCATTACATCTAATTTAACTTCATCACTCATTCCGCAGCTGCTTTTTTTATGTGCCCCACATGATCAAGCTCACGAAACTGCTTGTCTATTTTGCTTATTGTTCCTTAAGATATGGGAAGTAAATTAGGAAATTTCTCATGAAATAGGCGAGCTACTTCCTGTTGTGTTCGGGTTTTATCTTCGTAACCACATAAAACTATTATTTATGGCATTTCCATTAATCTAACCATGTGTCAGACTTGAAGTTAACGAATTTTAAACTTAAATTAAAATACTGACAACTGATATTGTAACATACAAAACACGTTGGCAAGGCGTTTTGAAGTAACTTTGCCACAGACATTATTTACAATGTTTCGAAGGATACCATGTAAGAAAAACATTTCTATGATTTTTGCTTACTTTTTTATTATCAATACCTCGACGTGAAATAAGTTTTGGGTGTATTTTATTAAATTTCGGTAACCACATGATTTTAATTTATTTCATCTTGATTGTTGCAATAAACTTAAAATCGATAACATTTCATTTTTGAATAGTGAATGAAGAGATCTTTCAAAAGCCTATACTTCCCATTTGGAAAATTGGGGATTGCATTTGTCATTCGACGGAGGTTGAAGGTGTGGGTAGTATTTTTCCGTTGAAGTATGTCAAGTTATAATTTACATTTGACGTGTTTCGGGATTTTGAAAAAATACGTACCGTAAACGAAAAAATGAATTTATTTCATTTGGTTTTTACACACTGCATATCCAATCAAATCTCATCTGACACGATGAAAACTATTGTCTGTGGTATTTGGTATCAATGTAGTTTAGGAAATAAAGTTTATGAAACAATCGCACAACGAGTATTAAAAACGAAAAATTGAACTATTTTGCAGTCTCAGATCTTGTATGGGAAAGCGTTTTGGCTTTCTATTCGTCCATCTTCAAACAAAAAAGTGTAAAGCTTCCGAAGAAAAAAATTGACTTCGAAATGAAGTCTTTGCAAAAGTGTGTAGATCATGCCCAGAAGTTTCTCTCATTTACAATCGAAATAACTTATTTTAAATGAACATTGAAATACACAAAAAAAACATTCCTTCGAAACAACTACTTTCACATTGAATTTTTTTCTATTCAGTTTGACTCCGAACATTCGTTATGGAATTGAAACAGATATCACGCTACACAACGTATTATATGAAAGAGTATTGATATGAAGTTTGAATTGAAAACATTTATCTTCCATTCCTCATCAACATCGTTGAAACTATTAATTTATTCATCAATTTCTATTCTGTACCCTTCAAAGTTGCCTTCCTCGGATTTAACACTTGTGTCAGCGTTTTTTCCAATTCTCGAGTTATGATATGCACTTTTTGATATGTCGCAAATCGTCGCCAAACGCCAGATTTCCATGGGTCTCTTCAATCTCGGGCACAGGAAATACTCGCATGGGGACAAATCTGGTGAATACGGTGGCTGAGGAATGATTGCGGTGTTGTTTTTGGCACAAAATCAAGAACAAGCAATGACGAGTGAGCAGGTGCATTATCGTGATGCAAAACCCATGAATTGTTTTTTCACAATACCGGATGTTTTCTTCGTATTGCTTCTCGCATGCAGTCCTACATAACTTCAAGATAATACTCCTTGTACTTGTACTTGTACCATACTAGTCGTACGGTCAGACTATCTGGCAAGAACTTCTGATGCACTACGCCACAGTAATCGAAGAAAACAGTGAGCAAAACCTTGACATTCGATCGAACTTGACGTACTTGTTTTGGTCTTGGCTCTCCTGGACCCTTCCATTGTTAGGACGACTAGACTTTTTTTTCGATGTCATAACTATACCCAAGATTCATTACCAGTTATGACCCTTTTGAGCGAATCTGAATCGCCGTTGACGTCATTCATCAATTCCTGAGCGATGCTCATGTGACAGTTTTTTTAGTAAAAACTAGTCGAGGCGAGTGTACCAACATAAGAAAATTTGAACATTCACCTTATTTTTTTTAACAGACCTAGTATTCCTCACACAAGATTTTGCACAAAAAGTGTCGAAGAGTGCCAACTATCGACACTATCTTTTGTATTTTGTTCGAGCCACTAAATTCCCTCATTATAATTGGGCGTAACAAAAATTGAAAATGCTAATTTTCATCTCCTTCTCAATTACATATCAGAATAGTAATTATAATTGAATATTCCTGAAATAATTATTCATATCTGAGAGGTGAGAGCTTCGGGCATTCATTTGGAAGTTTCCAACTAGAATTGTACCTGTGCCTTTCCCGGTAATTCAGTTCCCAGTTTACACAATGTTCCGGTTTCTGCTTCTAATCTTCTTTTATGACCCTTTCGCCAAGTAGATACAGCCTTCAAACAATACTGTGTCTCTATAAGCCTGTGTAAGCAAACTAAAGTTTTGGAACAATTTAATCCAATTGTTAGCGGTAACGGAACCACCCTTTGGAAGTTATAATGACACGTGTATTCAGTCAGCTAAACCTACGTAGGTTTAGCTGACTTTTTTCGATTCCATTCAGAAGAAAACGAACTTTTATTCAGTTTTTGGGTGATGTATTGAATTTTGCAAGAAGTATTTTTTTTTTTCGGGTCGATTTATTTCCATTAATGTGTGAATATGTCTCTTCGAAAACTGGACTGTATTTAATGAACCATTCTGTATAAAAACTGTTTTTCCGTTAACCAGCTGTCGCAACCCTACGAACGACAACCCTCAGAAGTCGAAACTTGTGCGAGCTGAGGATTAACGAGGTCTTACCTCTTAACGTGTATTCATACACGATACCCTTTTCATAATCATCACTCAGTTAGATTCTCTGTTGGTTAGAAAATGTATCCCAAAAGTAATTATATTGGAACTGAATATTGTATGAAATATTTTTTTGTTCCTAGTGCATTATCAGCGAATAATCCACCGTGATATCAAACCTGCTAATTTACTCCTTAGTGATGAGGACCGAGTACAAATCGCCGATTTGGGAGTATCCAATGAATTCAGCGGAAGCGATGCATTTCTATCCGGCACTGCTGGCACTCCAGCTTTTACTGCGCCTGAAGCACTCAACGACCAGAGGCAAGCTGGATTCAGTGGAAAGGTGAGTCCGAATAATACTCATATGTTACTAGCGACCCGCCCTAACTTCGCACGGGTGCAATGCTGATACCGAATATACATATGCGTGATTCTACATAAAATGGGTAACTCAATGTCATCAGTCGATAGACTGATAGACATGAAGTAATATATTTTATAGATTATTTATTTTATTCTGAAATAATGAAAACTCTTTTATTTGGTCGCGCTCGATTTCAGATATTTAGGTACTTCAAAAAACAATTTTGTAAAAGGAAAACATATTCTCAAAACGTCAGTTCTTCGACTTGTCACAACCCAAAAACACTTAATCAAGCGACTATGCATTACATACATGCGCGTGCCTAGGGTGATTTCATGGGGGGGGGGGTAATCACCCATTTCGGGCCCAATATTCATACTATGAAGGGTTCATATACGTTTTGAAAAGTAAAACTTCAGTAACACTAAGGCTTTAGTATTTAATTCTTTGGAAAAATAAATAAATAAACAGAATAACCTTCAAAACGAAAACAATAACTCAAAAATGAGAAAATGTGTAACTGAAAATAAATAAACGGGATATTATTCAAAACGAAAACCATAACTCAAAAATGAGAGAATGTATAACTAAAAATATATAAACATGACAAAATAAACAAAATAACCAAAACAGGTTAATAGATGAATGATATCAAATTGTAAATTCCAAATTCTTTTTTTTAGCGCTATATCTGTCTATGATATTATTTATATGAATATATCCCGATGAATATTTAAAAAGGCAAGTCCTGTTAAACGAGTACCCGACATGGTTGATCCCAAAGACGAGAAGCTGCGTTCTGCCGAAGCGACAGATACTGGTAATGTCACTTGGATTTGTAAAATAGTATAAATTAAAAGGTAAATATTTTTATCACACCGCAATAATGAATCAATTCTATTATCAAATTTTTCGTGACAATTCTTCCACTCACTTCCAGTTCTGATGTCAATCTACTGTACAAAGAAGTTTCAGATTCACTTGCAGTTAATCCGATAAAATGTCGGGCAGTCAACATGTTAGTACTCAGTGCTCCAGTAATTCCGTATTTAAATGTTGTAAAACAAAAACAGTCAGTCATTATGTGTGTGTGAAGTGTTCCAGCATTCTTCATAAAAGTTGTCTACGAAAAATGAAAAATAAAATAGGTTTTTTAGAGGGCTACAAAGTTGAAGCTAATGCAAGCGATAACTCAGAATCAGAAGAAACAAGTTTCCTTGAAAGAACAATTTAAGACTTACAGGAAGAAGGAGCTAATAGAGATAATTATATAAAAAAACTCAAGAGTGAACATAAATATATTATCAGTGAAGCAATTAAAATGGAAAGCGAGTTGAATCAATTAGCTGTGTCAGAAAACTCCAAGAGAAAATAAATATGCTACAAAAAATATCCAAAAACCACATAGACAAAAAGTGTTCCTATTCACAAACTGATACTACAGAAACGGTTGACAATACATCAACAGAATCTCCATGGAAAATATCCAGGGGCGTAGTAATAAATAAATCTTCAAAGGACAGCTCGACCCAAACAGTTATGGGAGAATGTAACAGAGAAATTAAAAAAGACTGGTCTGGAAATCACCAAAAAGAATTTCCGACATATCACCCTCTTGAAAATTATAATGTGAAGAAAAGGAGAATTACAATCATCCCTGATCAGAAAGGAAAAAATATGGCCAGCAATATATTGAATTTGACGAATGGTGAACTCGCCATACAATCAATAATAAAGACGAATGCAACAGATGATGAATTAGTTAGAACTGCTCTCAGCTATATCAAGAATAACAAAGACAATGACTCAGTTATATTTTGGCCAAATAAATATAATGAGCAGATGATCAATAAAATACTGAGGGGCTTATCGAAAGGAGAGATAATCTTTCTGACTGAACCATTCACATATGATAAAGGAAATAATGATCAGTTTATTTATAATAGGAACTTGGAACTAATCAGACATATGTACAGAATAGACAGACCAAGAAGTATAATAGAGAGTAACAATTTTGTGAGCTTGTGGAATCATAGGAAGCACGGATATAACTTCAATAAATGGCAGATGTGTAGAGAAATTGCTGCTCATATCCATAAACATTTTAATTTAGTTGAACTAGCAGAAAAACATGCTAAAGAATTTATAAATGATACCTTCACAACTAACTCTGTCGAAGACGGCGGACCATCAAGTTCTTCATCACATCTTTATTCAAGACAACCATTTATTGAAACCAAAGAAACACCCGAAACGTTAGCTTCTGAATTAAATGAACATCAAGTGAGCAAGCCTAATTATTTTTTTATACCCTCGTCTGTCTCAAGAAGCACCAAATCTATAGCGTCGAATGATCTTGAAAGCTCTTCAAATAAATGTTTACTACTGATGCACCTTAACATTCAATATATCAGAAATAAAATTGAATCAGTTTCCAAATTGGCAGAGGAAAAAAATTTTTCGGCAATCATTCTTAGTGAACATTGGCTTGTGGATGCAGAGATTAATTTATATAAATTGGATAATTTTTATATGGCATCTTTTTTTGCCAGAAAAGAAAAAATACATGGTGGTGTCTGCATTTACATTAGAGATACGTTCCAATCAGAGTCCTTGGATGGCATCAGGGATATGAATAAAGAGCAAAACTTTGAAATCTGTGGTTTGCTCATGAAAACAACCAAGGGTACAATATATATAATTGCATTATATAGATCTCCTACGGGCAATATTGACGTATTCATAAACAAACTGATTGACCTATTGAATATATTAGACGCAAATAATGTTAATGTCATAATAGGTGGTGATTTTAATATAAACTTTGGTGAGTACAATAATGTATCTATGATAATAATGAATATATTTGAATCTTACGGTTATCAAAAAAATATTTCTGATTTTACTAGAATACAGGGAAATTCAAAAATAGTTATTGACAATATTTTCACTAACTTTCATGTCGAAGAAGCTTATACGGCTAATTATCATTTATCTGATCATTTAGCCCAAATTGTGCGAATTGGTTATGGAAATGAAATGGAAAGTAAACAAACAAAAATAATAAGGAATAAAAGTCTCAAAAATAAATATAGATTTCATGATTGTTTAGCGAGTGAAAGCTGGGCATGTCTCTACAACTCAGTGCATGCAGTAACTTCTACAGAAATTTTTTACGAAATATTCAATTACTATTTTGATTCATGCTTTCCTAAAATAACAGTTAAAGAAAAAAACGATCGAAACAAACATATTCAACAGTCAAATCCACACTTAGTTCAACTCAAAGAAGATATGAAAGTATTAAACACTATTGAATTCCGGTAGTACTAATACTAATGAAACCGCTGCGTATAGAATGATTCTCAAGGAGAAGAAAATGGAGTATGAACATGAAAAAAAGAACATTATAATTAATGATATCAGAGAATCAAGTAATAAACCTAAAACCATCTGGAAACATACCTATCAATAATATTACTGGTAAAAAGATTTTAAATAATCAACTCGAGCATTCTCCAACTGAGTTCAACATTCATGTTTCCACCCAAGCTGATAAAATACTAGAACTTCCGCCCACTTCCAAAAAGTCATTTGAAGATTTCCTTTTACAATCCAACTTAGTTGCGCATACCTCACTTACTTTTCTATCAGCTACAGAAATGGACATTCATGATGTAATCAACTGTGTTAGAAACTCACACGCTACAGATATTTTCGAACACAGCACATTATTATTTGAAGAGAACATTAAATTTCTTGTCAGCCCTCTCACTCATTTAATTAATACTATTTTGTGTGATGGGATATTTCCTGACAAATTGAAAATGGCAAAAGTAATACCCCTTCACAAGGGATGAGACAGAAAAGAGCTCAACAATTCCCATCACGGCATAAATGGTGGAAAAGTATATGTTTCTTAAAATCAGGGAATATTTTGAAAGTAACAAACTGTTCACGGAATGCCAGTTTGGGTTTCGTAATGGTAGATCTACATCTGATGCAGTGACGAGATTTGTAGAGTTTGTAACTGAAGGATTTGAGGCCTCTTCTAACTCATTAGCTATTTTTGCGGATCTCAGCAAAGCTTTTGACTGCGTTTGCCATTATATTCTTATAAAAAAGTTAAAATTTTATGGTTTTTCGCACATAGGTATCCAATTGATGATCTCATATCTTCAAAACAGATCACAATCAGGTACTGTAATAACCAAATCAGTGAAAGTCTTCCGGTAAACAACGGAGTTCCCCAAGGTAGTGGGTTGGGACCACTTTTGTTTTCAATATATATAAACGACTTACCCGGAAGTATGAATGCCGTAACAACTTTGTTTGCGGATGATGCAACATTCACTGTAAGAATTAGTGATAGATCCTCAGAAATCCAGGAGTGGAAAGAAAATATAATACAGCAATCCACTGAATAATTCACCGCAAATAAACTGATTCTCAATAAGAATAAAACCAAAACACTTATTTTTGGAAAGAAAAACACATCTGAAGAACACGTTTTGTTTTTAGGACATAACATTGATCCGAGTCTGAGCTGGAAAAATCACATCCAGCAGTTAACTAGCAGATTGTCCAAATCGATATTTGCAATAAGGAGACTTAAATCAGTTGTGAACTTGGAAGCTGCTCTCTCCGCTTACTATGGAATGTTTCATAGTCTTATGGTTTATGGTATCGTTAACTGGGGATATTCCTGTCACAATACATCAGTATTTACCGTCCAGAAAAGAGCTATATGAGTATTAGCGGACATACCAAACACTGACACTTGTAAACCATGGTATATCAAATTCAAGATCTTGACACTTCCCTCAGCTATAATATATTATAACTTGATTCATGTGAAAACACACAGACATAAGTACCGGATGAATGGAGATAACCGTAACTAGGTATTCCACAAGGACCAGATCCCATTTAGCAATTCCTCACAACAGGTTGACATCCACCCATAAACAGTTGATAGGAATTAAATTATTCAATTCCCTTCCACAACCACTGAAAGATGCCCCATTAGCTAAATTTAAACTAGTACTCAAGCATCACCTCCTTCAAACCGCCTATTATGATATATCTGAATTTCAGTACTCATCATGTTGACTTTTATATATACCTCAGGTTTACCATTTTTATATGTGATTATTTTTTATTAATGATTATTGTCTGTTAGGTCTATGTTATATTCGTAAGGAAGATATTTATCTACAAGACATATGTACATAGTGTGTCTATATATGTTCTATTATTTGACAAATTGTGTTACTTTCAATTGTTCACTGTGATATTTTATATTTATACATTTTTACTTTTTGAATCTATTATATGTGACGTATGTATATGAACTTCTGTGTAATGACATGAATTAAATATATATCTATCTATTAGGACAAAAATTCTGTCAAATTGTTTTTACAGTTTTCCAGCTGTACATGTGAATATTCCAAGCAGATAGAATGTACAAAATTTGAAAAATAGAACACAGCTTCATTGTTGAATCTGAATTTGAAATCCTCTATAACACTATCAAGGACAGGAAAATTGACAATGATTCTATAATAATTATCAGGACTGTTACATTGTATATTTAGTCTCATGGTTTGTTTACCTACCACCCGTGGCATAGTAATGTCGATATCTAACACTTCGTGACTCTTCGTTATGTCTTTGTAGATTTTATTGAAACTGTGTCTCTTAGAAGATGAATTGAAAAAGGTGATGACTTCTTTCGCTCTGATGTATTCCCGACTATTTCATTCCAGGTATATAATGTATCTACATAAGCACCTGCTTCGTGAATTTGGCCGTCGGCGAACAATATCAAATAAAAACCCTGTTCACTCAACTCCATAATGCGCCACCCTGATTGCGATTATAATTCATTGTTGTGGCTAGAAGCTAGAAGACTAGAAGACAGGTGTAAAAACCCATAGTTGTGTCTTCAGTCTTCATCATCATCATTTTTTGAGTTTAAAAATAAGAAATGTTCGAATTTTTTCTCTAAAGTATTATTCAATCAGGCACGCGCCTGATTGAATAATACTTTAAATTTAAGAATTTCGTTATAATCTGTGATACATATCACGTTTTCCCTTGTGTAATAATATCAACATTATTTTTTTTAAAGAAACTTTGTGTTCAGTTTCGTTTGTCAGTCCGTTGTGTATTGTTTAAATTTGGAATTCCCGTCAAATAATGTGGATGCCTCTGCATATACCTGTTAAAATTATAATGTTGGTAGTAATGTTACCTGCGAACGGCGCAATTTGCTGGCCGCCATTATAGTGTCAATGCTAACGCGACGATTATCACGTTTTCGTGTGCCGTTTCTGTCGAAAATTTAGTAATGTGGTAAGTCGTTATTCCCTTGAGAATCTGAGTTTTATTTTGATTTTCATACAGTTTACTATTTGTTAAAATGTAACTTTGTTTCAAGGACAAAACACAAGCGCCACAGGAAAGAAAACCCCTAAGGTGCTCTCAGAGCGATGTCTGTGCGAAAGTAGTGATTTACATTGGATATTAATTGCTGAAGATTGAATCCATTTGGAAAAACTTTCTCTGGAAGTTTATCCTCAAAACGATGGACAGCCACAGTCTGTCGCGTATTTCTGATATGTACCTGTCTTGGTGGAATCAACTGTGCCAAGTCACTTTAACACTTCCCGTGACAGTATCTATAGAAGAGAGACAAATCTCCAACCTTTCTTCGATGTTCCAGGTTATCAAGGTTGCACGTGATGTTCGCGTCTCCAATCAGGCGGATGACGGAGAAAATTGCTCTAAAGAAGGTCTGATCTGAGCTTTATAAGCATCAACAGTTGCTGAGGTGTGTGTAGTTTTCTAGTTTGAAACAGTGTTCCAAGCTTTTGAGAAGCAGCCTTTGCAATTCCAGCGACATGATTGTGCCAAGACATATTTGTGTCCATTTCAACCCCAACAAAGTTATCGAAGCAGATAGTGGAATTGTCTGACCTGCCATTATTATATCCGGTTCGGAGACATTTATCTTCTTGGAAAAAACCGATGCCTGGGTTTGTGTGGCATTGAACTGAATCTGCTTACTTTCACTCTAATTCGAAATTACTTCTAGATGCTCATTAAGATATGAAACCTCCTGCTGTGCCTTTGTAACCTCGTCATTCCATTTGGAATCCAAATGGAATGACGAGACAAATGTTCTGTGGTCAGCAAAGCAATACATTGAATTATTGGTTTTTTACAATAAGTCGTTGATATACAATAAAAAGAGGGTTGGAGACAATATGGATCGCTGGGGAACACCAGCGATGATGTAACTTGTTAATATTCAAAAATACCAAAAAAATGTTAGGTGTAAATAGTCATGATCAGAAAAAACAAAAGACGTCCTTGCAGTCAACGCACATACCACTGATGATATCTTCTGTAGTAGCAGATGAAACTTTTCATTCGACCACGGCCTACTAACCTGCAAAATGTTTCAACAAGATGGTATTCTTTCATATTAGTCACAAATGGGGATAATTATTTTGTATATATCGAAGAAGTGCAATTGAGTGTCATCCTCGGCTACCCGACTTGAGTCCTTCAATTCTGTTCATGAGGTCCTAAAGAAACGGCTATGTTTCATTCAAATCAGGTTCATCGTTATCCAGATGCCGCCCTCTACAAATGGCAACCTTTGAAAATCGAAACTTATTTGAGCTGCGGATTAACGAGGTCTTACCTTTTATAGTGCGATTTCTTGCTCATTGGGAAAGATACCTCCTGAATGTACGGCAACGGTTTCTAGTTTGTTGGCAACTTGGCCAATAAAATATCCAGAGTGAAAGAGTGAAATTCATTAATTTTTTGTATTTTTTTGAAAAAGATATTTTTGCCATTTCATGTCTTCATATGTTCCTAATCAGTGGACATAGTTTCAAAAGCGATCCTGCAATGGGGACGATATTGAAAGACTTGTTGGTGAAGCATAATCAAACTATATTTCCTTTATTGCGATAGCACCAACGCTATGAAGGTACTGCAATGGTTTTCGGGTCAAAACTTACTCCTCTTACAAAACAAACTTTTGAAAAAAATTATTTCTCCGATATCTTGCTGGTTTTCCTTTTCATTGACTCACTTCGTAAACTGGTGGAAGGTGAACAACGATGTATATCTATTTCCATATTGAATTCAATATAATTTTTATTTTCACTGTGTACTTTATCTGTAGATCGAGAAAACTCAACTCTTCTTACTGCATACAGAAAAACCTGAGATTGTAAATGGTATTGATTGTAGACCCCTTGAACAAATTCTTCAAGCATAAATGTAACTTTCAAAAAAAAATCAGTTTTTGTCAAGATCCAATACAGATGTTTTCTGGTAACTCTGCACTGGAAAAGATTCATGAACGAAAGATCAATCAGTTTCATCGAATAATCAGGAAAATTTACTTTGAAACGCGACATACCTGTTCAGTACCTTTTCTGGTGATTTAATGCGATTAATTTATTCACTTTGAAAATCAACATACCTGATCAGTCGTTATTGAATGAAATTTCATTACATTCCACATCTTCTCTGGTGATCTATTCTAATTAATTCATATATTATTATTATTCCACCTACTGGATGAAAAATATGAAAACTTGAGTCACGAACTTCATATTTTTTCAGGCAACAGATATTTGGTCAATGGGCGTAACTCTCTACACATTTGTTTACGGTTTTCTACCCTTCCACGACGACAATATAGTAGGACTCTATTCGAAAATCAAACATCAGAACGTCGAGTTTCCCAGCCAGCCAGACATCAGCGACGATCTCAAAGACTTGATTAGGAAGATGCTGGTTAAAGAGCCCAGTCAAAGGATAACTCTACCAGAGATCAAAGTGAGTGTTTCAGTACGTTGCGTTGGCTTTGCAGTCCTACCAACCGTGCCGTTTGTGTTGAATTTTCAACTTCGTTATCCGATATTTTTTCACTCCTCTGAAGGCAATAAATTTATTCTGAATCCAACAAATCTGTTCCGTTAGAAAATATTATTATGCAATCCAAATCATCTTTCATTCAGCTTTCGTCTACGAATCGGAAGGTTTAGAAATATGCTATTAATGACAAAATAATACGTGGCGTTCTAACGAAAACACGACAATTTCTGTTTCGAGTAGACCTACTTACCGTGCATGTGGAATCCAACCTCTTACCTGCCACAGCTATCATCCATATCAATAAGAACACAACTACCGACCTACCTTGTCTCTGTAATTCTTCAACCAATTTTCTCAACCTGCCCTTACCTAACCTAACTCAACCCAACCTTCCCTTACATTATTGAAATGGTCCAGAATCAACAGATTGCATTTCTTTACAATTCTTTTTGACAGCTTTTGAAGTTTTTTTTCGGCGAGTGGAAAAATCAGACATCTGGTCGCCCTGTGACCAGGTAATTTCGGAATCTTGCCGAATGAAAAACCACTCATGAGTCAAGCAGGCTACTCTGAAACCGCCCTCGAGCATTACTTCGGAATAACAAACCATGGTGATGGTTTAGGGCTCTTCCTTTTTCCTTACTTCTTCATGATTATTTATTTAGTTCTTCTCTTCTTTTTGTCAAAATGGTCTTGGAGTGTTTACTAACGGCTTCCAGTTTTCTTTATTTTTGAGAATCATGTTATGCGGTGATAATTCTCATGTCGTCATTTCTGTTCTTCCCAACATAAGCATTCAAAGATTGTGTGTTCTACCGTGTCTATCATTCCGCAATACTTGCACTCTTCTTGAACCTAAAACAAATAGGACGTCTGAAAATACCTATGCCTCGTTAGGACTTGTATGAGAAAGTAATTCACCTGTCTCCATTTTGTGTTAATCCATGGTTCTATGTCTGTTATGAGTCTTTTGCTATCTTCTCGAAGGCCCCCACCGTTGGGCATGTAGCCCAAGGCTTTCCACCGTTGGAAAGCTATGAGCATATGTTGCTTACAGCTTTCCACGACTTTTTTGATATTTTTGTAACATGAGTTCTTGGCTACAGATGTTCATTTCCTTTAATCCAATTGTGATACTTTACAGTTTCCTGCCCGCTGTCAGCAGTACTATCTCTGACTTCTGGGGGGCAAGCTTCAGTTGCCTCGCTGTCATCCGTTCGGCTATATCCTTCAAACTTCTATCGGAAGTTTTTACCAGACTTTCCTCATTTTTTCCCACCACCACTACGGCTAGGTCGTCTACGTAGCCTATCAGGTTAACTTCCCTAATGACCGTCAGATTTAGTACCCCAACATAGTATATACTCCACAATGTGGGAGCAATTGTGCAGCCTTGTGGAACACCACAGGTGATGTTCAATTCTCCCTTATATCTCACTATTAGCACCCTCTCTACAAGGTAGCTGGCAATCATATTGTTTAGGGTTGATTTCCTTTAGGATCCCTTTCCATTATGCGGAGTTAAAAGCTTTTTGTACATCAAACGTTATCATGGCGCATCTTTTCCTGTCAATCCATTCGCTTGCTTGGTCTGCAATGTTTTGTAACTTCTCCAGTGCATCTGTTGTTGACTTATTTCAAAATGAACTCTTCTCGAAGATGTGTAGATCATACACTGAATGATTCAATAAATAACTTTTTGCTATTCAGATTGTTCTCTGAACATTTTCTCTCTCTCTCCCTCTCTAAGTTCATTCGACGTTGCTTTCCACTCATAGGAACGCTACCTATGAAATTTAATTTACATGGAACACCATCATCCTCAAAGGCAGACTTTGAAGTTTCTGAATAAGACATATTTGTCTTTTCGCCTCATCAGTACTAATCTGGATGGAATAACAATAAAGCACTCAAGTCATTCATTGCATTATGATTATGTCACGCATGAGTTGAGTCTACTCATGTCTCGATGACACTATGTAATGACATTTATACGCATGATCTACAACACATCTCTGTAAATAGTTCATTCTGAAGTTTCTCTTTTCTCTTCTCCAGGAATCCTTCACTTTTTTCATGAAGATGGAGAAATAAAAAGCCAAAACCATTCTTTCCCAAAAACTAATCTCTCCTGAAAATATGGCCCTTTCAATTTCTTGTGAGACTTCCATACATTTAGATACTAATCACGATAGGGATATTTCCTTACCAAACACTGTACAAAAAAGGGGACAGGAAAATAGGAAAATTTTCATTTTAAAAAATTATACCTATTAGCAAATTATTTCTGGTACGGCTTTTGTGGAATTATTTTTACATTTTAGTGTGAGATTAACCGTTACACTAATTCAGGACTATAAAAATCATACTCTTTTGTAAAATATGAGACCAAAAATTCAGCATGGGCTTGCGATCTGGTACTCTCATCATGAAACTTTGGGTAAATTGGACGTGTATACCTACAGCTCGAAAGAACTGATTCATGATGATCACGAAATATGTTTTCAACCGCTTTCAGAAGTTTCCATGCAACTGTGGGAAATGAATGTTTCAACTGGTTTCTTTGAACACTGGTAGCAAAGGGATTGGAATGAAGAAAACGAATTGAAAGGTATCTCTTCCTTCTATAACGAGAAAAAATCGTGAAACGACTCACAAGCGTCCGCAAGAAAATTGCCTTTCGCTTTGGTGAGTTGAAAACGGACCTTTGTATAAGAATTCATCAGATTCAGCACTTTCTGTCGATCTTTCAGGGATGGCAGAGAGGTCCGCTACTTTTTTTGTGAAACTATTAACCATCACATCCAATCTTGTTTCTCACGCATTTCATGGGCCCATCAAATTATCTCCCGTTCCTTCACACATGGTCTTTCATGGCGAGTCGTTACTGCTCGAATACATTGATGAGTTTTCTGAACAATCATGGCCTGTCTCGAGTATGAAAAGAAATAAAAATCATCTGAGAAAATGATTTGATCAAGCTGAATTACATCGTGATATATCTCCAAACGTATTATCTGAGATGATATGAAAGACTAGTAGATGTTCCACTTTTATGGAATATCTTTACTCCGAAATCATATTTGCAATATCATCTCATTCTGACCTGAATATTTTATCACTTGTTCACGTAGACAAATCTTCCTGATGAGCCATGCTCTCTGGCGTCAACTTTTCTGACTTGAGAAAGCGTAGCGTTGATTCATATCGGAGTGTGAAGTTTTCACAGCTCTTTCAAGGTCATTGTTCAAACTTCAAAACAGTAGGGTAAGGTAAGGTTGGATAAGATCGTCATAGCAAGCATAATCTCTGCAAAAACAGTGTTTTTCTAACAATTCCACTGACCACATCTGTCGAAGTCACTTTCTTCCTACAGAGGCAGTGTTCCATAAAAAAGTGTGTTTTTTTAGGGTAAACTGTCTGTGAGAAAGTTTACCCTAAAACAGACAGACAACTTACGTTTAAAATACCCCTCTTTTTTGTTGTGGCTGGTGGTTAGATTTTTAATTCAGATGCATGTCTGGGTGCATTCGGGTGAATTGGATTTTGAGGTTAAGGGAATTCAGATATGACAGAAATTTTTAGGTTCTCTTCACTGAGCTGCCATCTACTAAGAACATATTATCAACTTAACGCATCCACAATAATGTTTTCAAGCGCATTCTAAGGCCCTCTGTTCAAATTTTCCATTAAAAAATTGCCACCACCAGGTTTAATGAGCTGCCCATTTGACTCCCGTTTGTTTATAGGAAACACTATGGTAAATTATGATTATGTCTGCTGAAAATACATTGCAAATCAGCAGGAACTATCGTGTATAAGGAGACCATGCCGAAGTTCACTATTGTGTCTCCTGAACCTAACCTAATTTTTTCAATGGAATGCATTGGGGGTCGTTGCGTATTTGGCTACATCATTCTCTTTATGAATTTTTGGTAAGCCATACAGACATAGGCTTTGGATTTTCATAGGAATTACTTCGTGTTTCCTTCGAAAGTTGATGAACGAAATAGTTTTATATTCTTTTACCAGGCGGTTGGATCTTCAAAGTCTTCCATTCGTCGCAGGATCGAATGAGGCAACAATTTTCACATCATAGGCTTAGTGTTTATCATGACGTTGGTTTTTTTTTGGCAGGCAAAACCAAGATATCCCTATCGCTACTGAAAGTTTCCAGCATTTTTTTCTTCCTGCGTTGTATCGGCCTTAGATGGTTTTGCCTAAATCGACGTATCCAAACAAATTTTTTCAGCAACGTCATTAGGAAAAGTACGAATCACTCATTTCACATATGCTGAGGTCATCTTCTGATAATGTATGATCAGAGAGGATCACTGTTTTCCTGTTAACTATGGCGAAGGATATTTCCTGCTCTCACGTTTCTTTATGGTTTCGAAATTTCGTGATAATCCATCAACTTTCATATAATCCTTCCTCACTTTGTTAGGTAATGTTTCAAGAAGAACATAATTAATTTTCCCACTTCTCATTTATAACCCCACTTTTATAAGTACCAATTCCACTAGTTGTAATTGTTATTTTATATATATCTCATTGTACTATAAAGTTTCTGAAGAAGAGGCAATTGAACAGAAAGGATCCTAATTCTTCTACTGCAATACCTGCTCCATCTTATCGCTGTTCCTTAAGTTATCCAGTCGAACCAAAAAGACGAGAATTCGTGGACATACTAAAAAGGGGCAAATTATGGACACGTGTTTCTGGCAATTGGCCTCGTCAGAAACACGTCCGTCCGCGGTTTGCCCCTTTTTTGAGGGATATGTCTACGAATTATCCCCTTGATTTATATAATCTTCTGTTGGTTCATGATATTGTAGCTTATCTACATATACACTTGATTAATTAATTTTGTATCATTCGTTATTAGTATTGCTGTATTAAGTACTCACCAAAATTCAAATTTTTCTCAAAACAGTATTATTTTTGTAGGTTCACCCCTGGGTCACTAAACACGGCAGTCGACCCCTTCCATCGGAAGAAGAAAACTGCCATCTAGTGGAAGTTACCGAAGAAGATGTAGCGAAGGTCATAACTTCCATACCGAAGTTAGATACTTTAATTTTGATAAAACATATGCTCAAAAAACACTCATTTCAGGTAAGAAGATGAAAAAATATTTTTGGAGAAATTAAATTTCGAGTGGGTGAAAGTGTGAAAAATGAGAATTGAAACTTTCTATATTATGTAACACTTTTATTTGTGACTAACGTTACTACAGTTTCTTCTTTTAAGGACATTTTCAAACTTACACATTATTATATAAGTTTGTATATGTAATGTATATGTTTATTATCGGGTCGGTCGGTAGCCAAGCGGTTCGGCGTGGGTGAGTTGTTCACTCACTCGAATTGACTGCCGTGTTGGTCGGTGGTTCAAGCCCTAGTCTGAACGATCGATCTTCACTTGCTATCGTCCAACCCGTGTTAGGAATCACACGTTAAAAGGTAAGACCTCGTTAATCCTTAGCTCGCACAAGTTTCGACTTTTGAGGGTTGTCGTTCGTAAGGGTGCAACAGCTGGTTAACGGAAAAACAACAGAAACAACAGAAACAACAACAACAACAGATTATCATGATGATTTCCTACCACGTATTAACAGCTACATCTCTCTATTTATTGGGTAAAAGTGGTTATCTGAATTGATTTGTCATGAATAAACGGACAAAGACATTCATTACCAAAGAATGGATCAATTCAGTAAATTACGATACACGTTGAATAAACAAAAATTCTCTAGCTGAATAACTACGAATTTGTTTGAAGATAAAAAGGTTATTACCCAGTGAATGAGAAATTATTAAGAATGGAGAAAGTATTGATAGGAACCATGAATGAGTCTTCGAATGCGTCAATGGCAGAGTGGATCTATTGACAAAGTAAATATCAATGGATATTTGATGACCATTTCATGAATGAATGAAGACACGAATAAATGCATAGGTCATTGACTCGTTAAATGAGTGAAGAAGAAGGGAAATTTAATCAAAATCACACCAATTTACGAGACCCATGACTGAAATTGAATTACTATAGAGTTGTTTTTCTGTTACTTTTTGTTCAAACAAGATTGATTAATGCTGTTTGTGATTCCAATAGCGATGGTAAACAATGCGAAAAAGAGATTCCTACCAGTGAATAAGATTCGGATGCATTTGAATATTGAAATACAGAGAGTATGTTTCGATGTATATAAGAATCTACATCTCAAGTTTGGTTTCGGGGGAAAACGTCAAAAACGCAAGACGCGATGTGATACAGGATTACCAAAACCTTTAGATATTCATCTAATAAAATCATTGAAGGAAAAAACAATATACGATTGTTACAAAATCCATGAGATTCCTACAACTGAATTCATTAGGAAGAAATTGAATACTTTCGGCCATAACGTGAGCTGCTGTGACAAAACTCTTCAGAATTGGATAAAAAAAATTAGGATTTATATTATGCAGCAGTTATGGAAAGCAGAAGAATAGTGGAATTTCGTAACAAATACTTATAACAAATAACTAAATATAGACAGGAACAGCGGCAAATTTTCTATTTGGACGGATCTTGGTATGACACTCTTGACACAGTTACGAAAGGGTGGACTGATGGTTCGAGCATATGTACGCTTAACATGCCTGCAAACAAAGGATCGCGTCTAATAATTGTGCATTGCGGAGGAAGTAAAGGTGGGTTCCAAATTATTTGAAATTTTGTAGAAAAAACTTGAGGACTGCAATGTTGACTATTATAAAAATATGAAAGGTAATATTTTCGAGGGATTGTTTGAAAACACATTGATCACAAATTTGGATTCGAATAGTGTGATAGTTTTTGACAATGCTTTCTATCATTCCCGATAACTCATCATAGTACCGAATAAAAATTCGAGGAAAGATGAAATACAAAGGTTTTTAATGGATATCAATTTGTATTCTGAAGATTACTATACCAAAAACCAACTACTTGAAGTTTTACAGACAAAAATATTTGAAAAAGTTTATTTTCTTGAGAGTATTACTGAAAAGTATTGACATACCATTCTGAGACATCCCCCCTATTTGTGTGTTTTCAATCCCACCGAGTTCATTTAGGGAAAATTGAAACAAAGCATCAGGCGTAAAAATAATTTTCCAAAATTTGATAAGAAGGTAATAAAGCTAATTAAAGAAGAAGTATCTAATATTACCGAAAAAGAACGGCAGAAAAGCATTGAAAAAGTAATTTTAGTTGAAAAATCACTCTAACCGTATAACAGTCAGAGGAGACTTTTCTAGTGAGTTGTTCAACATGATCCACGAATTTTAAATGCTGGTCAATGCACACTCCTAGAAATTTGTGTTATTTTTAGATTCCAGTGATCTGTCTTCAAAGAAAAGGTTCATTGATTGAGCATCTAAATGATATCAAATTTGTTTTAGTTAATTAATTAATTTAGTTAGTTATAAGATGAAATGTTTGAATCACACCAATCTTTGACTGTTTTCAAGCCGGCAGAAATTATTTTGTGCAACTCACAAGTGTTTTTATTATTCCAAAGTATGGTAGTGTCATTTGCAAATAAGGTGAACTTCCCAGTTGAACTTGAGAAAGTAATTCAGGTTTTTTCGTGACCATCATTTGAAACTGATGGTGGTTTCAGTTTTACAGGCAGAGTCCTGTTGGAATTTCTTCCTGACGTTTCACCGGTGCGTCTCGGCTTCCGACTTCGGAAGGGATAGACCTCAGCACATGCCATACACTCATGCCGGAAGGAAGAAATTCCAACAGGGGATGGTCTCAAAACCTGAAATCACAAACAGTTTGAATCGTGAAATGGTAGATATAACAGAATATTAATAACAAGAATAGTTTGAAAGTTACAATGTTACATTTGTGAAAAGTAAAACTGAAGCCTCTGGTGTAGAGTAAATCCAAATAACACTGCCTCAAAATAACAGAACTTCAGTAGTCTTCTAGACGCGTGTGTCACCAACCAAGTTGGTGTGTTCAGATATGAACCAAAATAATTTCTAACTTTGAAATTCATCCATTTATATATGAAAGTGAATACTTTCATTTCAAGACACACATCAATGATCTCTTCGTTACAAATTGCTCTTTTGAAATAGAACCTTTGTCACTATTCATAGTCCTCATGTACCGATATCAAAAAATATAGATGGTGGAATTTTCTGTTTACCGGAATCTGATGTGAATTTTGTAAAAAATAATCTAGAACATTTACAAAAAAAGTTCCCGCCAATTTGTACTCAAGGAATCATTGATATGTGTCTGAGAGTGGAAAGAGGAATCGGTCCACAACAACTTGGTTACCGTTCTTCATTTTGTTGCAGTTCTAATGATTTGGAGCAGTGTTTGTTTTGAATGATTCACTTTCAATGTTACTTTTTTACAGAACCCCTTCCTTCACCGTCGAGACACTACCTTAGTGCCCTCAGATTCTGGAACAACTGCAATCACAAGACATCACATTGGTGCATCAGGCCGTTCGAAATCAGCTCCAGACAGCTACGATTGGAACCATGAGAGACAAATGAGCATCGAAACTAGCTTGGAATGCGTGGAAGAGGTCATCGTAGACGTGGATGAAAACTGTAAAAATGTTCTAGAAAGGACGACCAAACGGTGATAATGAAATATTTTTCGAATGTGAAAATGCGAATGGATTATGATAGATAATTAAGATTTGATATGGAGTATGTGATATTCAACGTATTTTGAACATATGAGCCATTTGTTTTTAGTTTTCGTTTGATCGTAGCTCAGAAGAAGAGTTTATTCAGTCCCAGAAAGGGTAATATTCATTTTCCTTTTTTGTTGACGTAACAATTTTTAGTACATAGTACTTCTTCGATAATAATTAAGAATGGTTTCAATGGCTTTATTTAAACGAGTCTACCACATTTAAAAATTTTCAGAATGCAAACTAGGCGCTGTATAAAAGTTCCAGCACTGTTACGATTTTTTATTATAGAATTCTGAATTCTTTTGAAGAAAAAAATAATGCGATCATCGAATCTGACAACCGGAACATGTCACTCTAGCGCAGTATCGTTTTTTCTTGCACGACACCTACTTTCTGATTGAATTCGCTTATAATTTCCAAAGGAAGATATGTTCAACATATTTTCAACTCAGTTTTTTCAGTTCAACAACCTAAATATGTGGGTTACGACAGGTTGTGTTCTGAGATTACCAGAGTTGTATTCTCAATTTGTTCGCTTTCAAATAAATTATGTGTATTGGAAAACCGGTTTCGACAAAGTATGACGCACATTCATAGGAAATAAAAAACTTCCCAATTGTTAAGTAGTCAAAAATACGCGCAATTCTGATTTCGCGTAGTAAAGGCAGATGGTGGTTTTGTGGTTTACGAGGCGCCACTAAATTTTGTTATACCTACTCGATGTTTCTTTCAGAAAAATCACAGTGTTTATTCAATTAAGAATATGTATTAGTGTGTTATTTTTCGAATTATTTAGTGCTTCTTGTGTGATAGTCTGTGTAAACATGAACATTTTCTCCCACAGCCATACATTCAACGCCATCTTTTACCCGGTATCTTCTCTGAATGATGAATATTGGGTATATTGTTTTTCTTGTTACAAGGAATTTGATGGAAAAAAGATATATTCGGCTTTCGAACGATGTTTAAAAACTATTTTTCTATGACTATTGAATAAAATCATTGATTGTTTCACATTTTCTTGTTGAGTGAGTAGCGGAATGATCCATAAATTCGAACCAATCACAATTTTGCATATTCATAACTCACAACCTCTAGGCAATCATATATGAGCAAATTCATAAAATATCAATTGTCTTTCAGCTATTTCCAATCGGTAGTAAGCCTAGCTAGTAAGCGAAATTATACCATTGAACTGACTGTGATAGCTTCTAACGAAAAGCAAAATTAAAAACATGTACTCGGGTTATTCACGACAAATTTCATTATCGTGAGCAATGGCCACATTTCTCGCTCGTTGAATAATATTCTATCTCCTACAAATCAACTCTATGAAGGTATATGATGAGTTTTATGAAAAATCATTGTTAATAAATATTTGTCATAATTTTCTCACAAAAAAGATTACTTACACTTGATTAATAAGTACTTATTAACTAGTACAATGCACATACATCCTCTTGTCAGGGCATACGTGAATTAGATGAAATCATATAATATTTTGAAATCAATATACTCAATATGTACAGCTTTAATTATAGAGGAAAATGAAAATCAGATTGAGTGTGCCTTATTTTAACCTTATTTTATCGAACTGGTAATTGGATACACTAATTTCATCGAACAGTCCAAAAATATCAAGAGCGATTTTTTTTCTAAATTTTGTATTCACAGAACATAACCTGACATATTCAGGTTGTACCACTGGCTGAAGAAACGTGGCTGAAAATTTGTCAGACAATTTATCAACTATCTTTTGGTGGGCAATTATGAAAAAATTTAATTGAAAATTTGGTGTTATACAATAAGCGAACGGTATCGCGCCGGAATGATATTCTAAGCCAATTTTTTTTGACGCACAATATTTTTATTAAAATAGAAAATTTTAATTTTGTAGAAATCTTAGCAGGATGCCCTTGAAATGTTTGGGAGCTACAGGTTAAGGGCCTGACCAGCAACCCCTATTCAGATGTGATAATGATGATAATGATAATGATGACGACTTCTTATTCAAATATTTTATTATTTTTATGAATACGTATAAAACACTACGATACAGTTTGAATTCAGTGGTAAAACTATTGTTCTTTTTATGCATTCGGGCATGTAACATACATTGCAATTTCAGTGAAGAATAAATAATTTTCACCAGCTTTACTTTCCATCTGGAAAGATTAAAATAGTACTTTCTTGTGAGGTGGTCGTGGCAATCAGAATGTTCATATTTATATCTTGTCAACTGGATGAAAATACTTATCTTTGTTTTGAACCATTACATTAGATTGTCGGGAATTCAAATCTATTGTGATGCTCCTTGGTTGTTAGAGCTCATTGTCTAGCTAGATCTCTTTGATAAGACTCCATAGCCTTGACACTGACCCCTTCATATAGCTGGTAGCCTCTTGACAAAACCTGCATTGGGTTTCTCCTGTCGGACCCATGTTGCTCATATGTTTCCTAAGTCGGCTATGCCCCTTTAGTAGACCCACTACTACCCTTACAACCTTACGGTTGTGGTTCAGCAGGTCTTACGTGAATCTGGGCCATGGTCATTCCTGGGAGCTTGTTCCACCAATATATCGATTCGGCTTCCATCTTGAATTCGCTACCCCGCAGAAGGGTTCTGGGCCGATCACAGCCTTGAATGCGCCTTTACGGGCTAGAAAATCGGCCTTCTCATTACCGTTGTGATCCTCATGTCCAGGTACCCAAGCTAGAGTGACCCTATTTTGGGTACTTAGCTCCTTGAATGCGTTCAGACAGCTTCCCACCAGTTTCGAGAAGACCTGAAATGAGCTGAGCGCCTCAATTGCCGCCTGGCTGTCGGCGAAAATGGCAATGGTTTAATTTGTGACTTTGTGTCTGTTTATTTGAAGTGCTCGATGGCCGCTACTTCTGCCTGAAACACAGTTGCATTTAGTCCGAGGCTGGGTACAATTCTCGTGTTTGCTCTGCCTTCGTATATACCAGCTCCCACTCCTTCTGTGGTCTTTGAGCTACCTGTATACCAAGTTTTCTCCGCTTTAACCGGTGGGCCGTTTTGCCAGTCCTCTCTACTTGGTATGATGATTTTGAAATCTTTTAGAAAGTTGTACTGCGGAACTGCGGGCATTCCTAGTATTGGATCTGCCTTCTTTTGAACGATGAGTTGATGTCTAGGAAATTTTGGGGTTTGTATAATTTCCTCATTGTTTCTAGGAATGGCCATTTGGGAATATATTTCATCACGTCATTTTGTGAAGTTTTCAACGGTTTCAAAGAACAGAAATTGAATAAATAAAAAAGAAATTAACAGTTATTAGATTATTCAACAATTAGAAAAATCTCAGGTTCTCTGCACGCTAAAATTTGATCAATAAAAAATCGTAAATGAGCTAGAACGACAGATAGAGGTGCTGTGCTTGCTGGAAAGCGTTCTGAAAATTCAATAGTTTGATAGATTCGTTGAAATGGAGTCACTAAGACTATTTTTCGGACTTTTGTAATAATTATAAAAAAAGACGCTGTACTGGGGATTGAAACCGGAATAATAAAAGCCAGAATCAGAATATAGCCGAATGGAAGAGTTCGAAGTAGATAGCATCCGAATAAATCAAATTTTGAAATCCAGTTGAATATTTGAATCATTCTAGTTCAATTTTAATTTTTGTGTCGGTCAAATTTCAGTCAATTCATTTACATTACAATATTATTTGAATGTAACTGAATACTCAATATCAGTTTTGAAACACTTTTCTTCTCAAATAATTGATATTCATTGATAACAATGGATTATTCAATCAAATATCTATCGAAAAAAATACAATACAAACAAATTTTTCATCAAAATCTAACTAACTCTACAAATCATGATATAGATATATTTTCCCGAATGATTTTTTCCTATGAAGATCATCTAAAGAAGAAATCAGTTCCCTGTTCCATTATTTGGGAACTAAAAGTTTTTTCACCTGAGAGAGATAACATTTCAAACCTACAGAATTTTCAAGAGAGAAAAAATATTGTTTTTTGCCTAGTCTAATAGCTGTGGTGTTGAATGATCATTTTTGGTCCTCTGTTGTATTCATCAGTTGATTGAAACTAATTTTTGTCTTATTTAGGAAAGAACGAAAAATTGATTTAGAAATGAAAAGACGTCTTATTACTTTTATTTTCAGGATATATTCTTTCATTCGGTTATAACTAGTTTACCAAAGTGGTAATTACTTCAAGATTTAGATAATCTAAACTTCAGCAATTCGAATTACACAAAACGTTTTTGTCATAAGAGTTCGTGAAAGAATACAATCTCAACAATAGTTCCTGAAACATTTATAATTTGAAATGTTCAACATACTTTCCACATTCATTTAGATAATGCAAAAATTTTCTTAAACTATACAATCAACTGCTCGTATAATTTTCATGCAATAAATGTTTCTGTTGGTTACGTTGACCTAGTATAATTCCGTTGATCTGATTTTACTATGTATGATTTTCTACTGAAATAATGTTTTTGTTCATATTTTTCTTATACCTCATAATGATTTTCTGGTACTATTTTACCCTTGCAAACTTATTTTTAAGGTACTAAATTGATAATGATCTTATATTCACATGATATTTTTGGATATTTTTGTATACTCATATCAGTTCAGTTATGTATATTTGTTTTGTTATAAATATATTTCTATTATTTTTATTTGTTCCTTTTTTTCTTTATTTGTTACAAACAAACAAATCTATGTGAATTCACGTGGAAGTTTGAGAGTTTTTTGAATTTGAATTTTGACTATCACAACGTTCAAATGATTTGTTGCATTATATTTTTACAAATGTTTGTTTGAAGGTGATTGACAATGTTTCGTGATGAATTTCACTAGTTCGGACTTCCATTATCTATTATATAAAATGAGTTGAAATCCCTGAAAATTAAAGGAATGCAATTTTTCCTTATATTTTTACTTGTAGGTTATTTCACTATCATTTCATTTCAGGTTTATTGTTTTATATTCTTTTTAATTATTCTTTTTTACTTGTTTCAGGGATTTCAAATCATTTTATATAATAGACAATGGAAGTCCGAACTAGTGAAATTCATATTTTTACAAACTTCAAAAAATTTTTTCCATATCTAATATATAAAAATGGATGTTTGTTGGTTGGTTGGTTGATACTTCTACATCGCTCAACCGATCGTGATGAAACTTTTCTGTAACTCGCCACTAGATGCCGCTGTAGAACAATTTTTGAAAGCACTGTTCTATAACGCTGCGCACGTCTAAGTATAAGTTCGTTGATTCTGATTATGTCAAAACATTGGAACATCAGCGATACAGCAACATAGTACTAGTAGCGTATACTTATTTCACAAAGTGAAATTTAAAAACTCCTTTTCAAATATTCATACGAGATGTGTTCACCTCGTTTAATTCGACAAGGGACCATGAAAATAAAAGAGATAAGTATATACATACAGTGCATTTCTTTAATGTCCCCCTTTTATTTTTCGAACGGTCATCTCAAAAATTGTAATTTGGGATAATGAAATATTAATGCATGAATACTTTATTTTGATGTAAAATTTATAGATGAAACTTTCAAGATGGCGACTTGGCGCTATCTGGGAATGAAAAATTAAATGGAAAGGGGGGTCTGGTGACACATCATTTCGAAGCTCCTGACGAATACTTCACAACCCTAAAATATGAAGTCAATATCTTTACCTACTACAAAATGGCGGAACATTTAATAATTTCCTGAAGACAAACATATTAATATCGATATTTATAGAAATATTCCTTTTTATCTGCCATATGGCGATTCCAACAACCCGATAGGGTTAATTATGTTATCTTTTGTTGATGAAAAGAAAAATGAAAATTTCTATGTTACTGCAGTTTCGTCCTATATGGACATTCTCAAACTAATACAATAAACTTTTTTTTATTGTATTAGTTTGAGAATGTCCATATAGAACGAAACTGCAGTAACGTTAGTTACAATTGAAAGTGGTAAAGAACATAGAAATTTTCATATCTCTTTTCATCATGATCTCCTACCACGTAGTAACGGCTACATCCATCAATTCATTATCTTTTGTTTATAAAAACGATAAAAAAAGTCAGTAATATAATGAACATCACTGTTCAGTTAGAATATTCTCATTCAGTTTTCGGTTTTACTAGTAGAAAGGTACCACTTCAAAAAAATCTCTAAAATGGTCAATTCTCGTCCATTGGAAGAAAAAATTTAAGCGATTTTTATTTACTGTGCGACGCGTATCTTTCACGGAACCGAAAGGATTTCCAATGAACGTTTTCTGAATCGTCCTATCTGTAGAAAATATTTGAGGGAACTTGTATCGAAATTCACAACTACCGATAGTGTACATAACAAAAAGCCCCCAGGTCATCCGTCCATTCCGGAAGGACAGCAAGTGCAAATAATGGGTAAGATGGTAGTAAATCCTGAACAGTCTCTTTATTCCGTCGCAAATGTTTGTGAAGTGTCTCCTTCTACTGTGTGGAGACTTTTGAAGAGGAATAGATCCATACAAATTAAAATGATACATCAATTAACTGAAGATGACCCTAATCGAAGAAGAGAATTCTGCGAAATCATGACGTAAACCATTGCAAAGCATCCTATCTATCTCCACAATATTTGCTTTAGTAACGAATGTACATTTTTCTAAATGACAATGTTCAAAGACAAAATTGCCGTTATTGGAGTGACACCAACCCTTACGTTTTCCGGGAAACACATACCCAATATCCAAAAAAAAATTAAATTTGGGCAGAAATATTGGGAAACCATATTGTAGGACCTCTATTGATCAAAATTCAACAGGGGAACTGTATTTGAATATGCTGCAAACTACTATTGACCCTCTATCACTAAATCGTCGACGCGAATCCTAATGAATGTGATATTTATATTGTATTCCAACAAGATGAAGCACCATCACATTACACCAGACAACTAAGAAACTACTTTTCCTAGTCGTTGGATTGGCCGTCGAGATCCTACAGAATGGCCAGCCCGCATACCAGATTTGTCACCTTTGGATTTTTTTCATGGGGCTATTTGAAGCATAAGGTGTACGAAACTGAACCTGCTTCAATATCGAATATACGGCAGAGAATAATAAATATTTGTAGAGATATTGAAGTTACTCTGTTCGAAAATGTTCGGCATGAGATATCGAATAGGCTGTTCATATGTCAAAAAGTTCAAGGCAATCATTTCGAATATCTTTTGAACAGACCTCAAGCTCATTATCTCATATTATAGGTATAGTTGAATGTCAATGTATTCAGGCAATTATCAAAAGTTCCGCCATTTTGTAGTACTTGAAGATATTGACATTACATTCTAGGGATGTGAAGCATTTGTTCGAAGCTTCAAAAAGAATTGTCACAAGACCCCCCTTTTTATTCAATTTTTTTTCACAGATGGCACCCAGTCTCCTCTTGAAAGTTTCATATGTCAATTTCACTTCAAAATAAAGTACCTATTCATGAATTACTTTCATCATCCCAAATTTCAATTTTTTGAGTTGACCCGTTCAAAAAATAAAAGGGGGGGACATTAAAGAAAAGCACTGTATAGAATGACATAGTCTGAATGTTATTCTCCTAGTTATTCAAATTACATTTTGTATTATTGCCTCATGCCTTATATAGAAATATTATTTATCTTCATGTTCATTTTTGTCTCAGTTATATCAGGTACAAACACTCCTGAAGCTTTTCAAAATCGATTTTTCGTTTTTGTTTTTTGACGTGAAGGTAACTTCTTTGAAATAGAAGAATCAAAGAAAAAAACCCACCAGCATAACACGTACTTGAAATTTCATGCAGTTAAGGTGAATTTTTTGTGCACGTTTGTAAGAATTTGCAATAAAACCGTCACAAGATCGGTCAATAAAAGAGTAACAAATGTATTTGAGAAATAATGTGGGTGATAAATCCAATTTTGGCAACACAATTTCAGTAATCGTTTCAACTTGCCATATCAGGTGCTACAGAGGAGCTATAAAACATAAGTTAAAACAATTCTATTATGAACAAATTATTTGAGTAAAGAAAAATTGTTCATCAGTGAGAATATTCTGAAGATGGTAGCCACAGGTGTTGGAAACATCCACTCAAATAAAGGATAGTGAATAATTGAAAACAAACAGCAAAGACTTACGATTACCTTCTATGTTTTTGTTATACTTATTCCAAAACTCCATAGTCAGAAAATTATTGGATTTTCAATGAATTGGCTTGTACTCTAAATACACTGGTATTGATTAACATTTTGTTAATTCCTGGAAAATTAGAAAGGCGCAATATACTCTATTTATATTGTACTACTGTTACAACTTTTTGATGCATGTTAATATAATCTTCTTGTACATACTATTGAACCTTTTCAAATTTTACTCTTGAATAAAGCACTAGATTTTATACATTTTTGCACAATTTCAATGTATTATCTCTCGTGTAAATATATTTGAACACGCATTGTTAGTTCACTTCACAATGTTCATTAATTCACTGCAAATGAAGCTTATAAATTAAATTTAATGTCGTTAAATCGAATCAAACCGGCAACTGGGGTGGATATTCATATCCACCCCAATTTCTATCATTATAATTGTATTCCCGAGCCTATTATAGTTGATAATTAACTCGTTTTCATAACTAGAGATTTTTGTATCTATATCATGGAGATATTATTAAATATATTGAGTTTTGACTGTCTTATAATTACAGTTCAGCTCCTTAGTCCTATGTCTCCACCATTTTGAATTCAACTGAATGCATTCTTGGATTGTAGATTTTTTCAGTGTCTCAAGAAAGGAGGTAAAATTGTTGAGACTTCGAAATGTAACCTTCATCCTTGCAGTCAACGCAAAGGCCTGATTTTGTTCTCTTCAATCATGACTTCCACCTCAAAAGCCCGACATGATTGATATTTTAACAAATTAAAGAATTAACTGTCTTGAAGAAATGTATTTCCGATAATATTTCACTAATCACAAACTAATTCATTTACTACACTTAGCAACTAACGCTTAATTCATTTCCACTATTTGAATTCCTTGTTTAACCACTCGATTCATTTTCTGAACTCCCTCTTCGGTCGGGAAGACGGACTTATATAGTGTAACGGTTCTTTCTCGAAATCTATAGTCGGTTCGATACTCGACTAAAGTTTATCGGCGGTTGCCGACTGCATTCCTTTTGCGGTGATGTCATGTGTTTGTTCGCTGGCCGGCATATCGGTCAAAGAATCATCGTATATTCTTATATATGGAGGGGTGTGTATTTCGAACATTTCTTCAGAAATGGTTTGTACTTGGCTACCTGTCTTTAAGAAAGATATAGAAATTGGCAAAACTGGCACTGACCAATATCAGAAAACGTCGTTCTACATCGAATGTTCCAAAAGTCAATCAATAACATTGACATGTCTCACATTTCGAAACTCCTTTGACATCTGTCGAAAAAGTTTGGAAATCGAATCAATGAAAAAAAAATACAACCTAATAATTGATTTTATTGACAGAATGTAGTACAAGATGTAATAGGTATGGAAAATACCACCAATTCTTGAATGATATCTCCTACATTTCCGTCAAAAGGCACCAGGACCTTGAAATTATTCGAGTAGACCACCTACAGACTGGTTTCGAGGTATTGCCTTTCATCAGTGCAGGAAAGATCCGACCCAAACAGCAAAGTGCCTGGGATTCGATCAATTTCAATGTGTGAAACCTTCATCCGCATACGGTGTAGGTAGTTGGGAGGGATGAATATTTCGAGATTTTATTTAGTTATTATAGATGTTTCTTCCCCGTTTGGGGCTTTTGTTCACGAGATAGAGCTATAACTATAGTACATTCTCGGTATTGTCTGAGAGTGGAAGAATTCCAAGAATGCAAACATACGGGTACTGCAATTCATCCACAAAGTCACTGGAATATTTCTACCCGGATGACCCTTGAAGACGCCGCCAACGAGCCATCAAAATGGTAACTTGCGACAACAAACATCAAAAGAGGCGGCCGACGGGGAGTATTGTTATGGATTTTCCAATAATATATTCTGTATGATGCGAAGATTATTGAAATATCGTGTAATCTAATTTTGTTTGAATATTTCATTTTGAGGAAGACAGTTTATATTTGAAATAGTCTTTTATTCAGGATTGTTACCTTTTACAGATTTATGAAATAATCAGAATATTAAATTTAAAAATAAATACAAATGTAGAAAGGGCACAAAATTACTGCATTTGATAAATGAGCTTCTTGAAAAAAAAATATAATTTGTCAGTAACGTAAAGTAAGATAAATAAATAAGTACCATTGATTTCAATTTAAGAGCCACCGGTAGACAGCTGTTTCAGCCTATTGGGCATCTTTATTTTTTGTTTTCCAAAAGTAAAGTTCAGCTCGTGTAATATCTTCCATAATCTAGTTCTGCTCATATCAGAAAAAAAATTGTTTTCACGAATAACTGACAAAACTTTATTTAATGTCGGTATTTCGTTTTTCATGTAAAAAACTGGTCTGTTCTCCTGCCAGTATTCTTCTGCCAGTATACGTCGGCTGCAAAAAGCTGTTGCTTAACTCGACTTCCTTAACAAACGAAGATATAAGAGGTAATACTTCGAAACTCAGATGAAAGAATAGAAATGTAGGTGAATCTTCATGTTGCAGAATTTCACATAAACAAGCTTATATCAAAATCATGAAGAATGTGAATGATATCTTGTTGTTTAGCAATGCAGATTAGTTATCTATAGAACAATAATTTCTGCAGGTTTAGACTTGCACTGCACATTCGTTATCAAAATATCTGTTTTTGGTAACAAAACCTGAGCATTACAGGAAAATCCTTATTGTGCTCAAAGAGCGGTGCCTGTGTGAAAGTAGCGATTCACATTGGATTTGAATCGCTGGAGATTAAATCCATTTGAAGTTCAAGGTGTACTGAGTTGAACCTCTATATGAAATGATCAAATTATCATATAAAACACTGTTTCCGTCTCTTTTTCATTACCAAATAAATGTACTCTTCATGGAAACTTTTTACCTGAGAATTTTTCACATATCTTGAGAACTGTAACAGAATGATAAAAACCAGAGACCAAATGAAACTTTATTCACAGTTTTCTTTACTAAGTAACGTTCACATCAATTTCGCCACCTCAATTAATCACTACAATGCAAATGATAGAGGGGGTATATATCTTAACGCTAAATTTATATAACTGTTAGATTCATCTAAGTCATTGACGATTTCTTTGATTTTTTTAACAATATCAGGTTTTTTAGTATCGTCTCTCTCTATCACTTTGTTCATGACCACCCTCAGTTGGTATGCGGAGGTGCTTGTAGAAGAATCCGACAATTCCTTCAATATTCTGTCAGTATATCCCTGTAAAAAATAGCTGTAATGAAAAACTCTCAAATATAGAATCAGTTTCCTGAGAGAAAATAATCGAGAAAAGAATTGTCAGATATCTCATCAAATAGTAGCAAATCAATGATCTCCCGAATCAAAACAAAATTGTTTGTTTTTATTTGATATCTATCGAGATTTTCTGAGAAATAAAACATTACTTCGAAAAGTAAGCAATATCAAAGAGTCTGTATTGTTTGGTGAATAGAAACAAAATCAGTAGTTGATTACTTTTCATACTCACACTATATTTACTCATTCCTAGCCTCTTTGATTCTTTACTCAGAAGATCATATAGAGACAAAAGCGTCACATAAGCTTTCGTTGGAGGAATCTGCTTCTGTCTCAACAATTCGACCCTGTGAAAGAAAACGATTTTTTTAATAAAAAACAAATCAATTTCAGTTTTTGGTGATATTGTGCTTTTCAAAGATTTTTTCATCCTTTCGCCTCCCGCTTGTCTTCAAAAATACAGGAGATACCTAACAAATGTTTATTTCGTCAGGCGATTTATGGAACTCTATGCAAAAAAGGTTCTTGCTTTGTTGAACAATCCCAAGAAAATGAAAAATATAAAAAATGTAGTGAATTTATATCTCTTGTTCCCTCTTTTGCTACTCACATTGTAGTCTATTGTTTTTCGCAGTATTCAAGCAGCAAAATACTATTGAAATTATTTCTGAATGATATTGGAATGCTTGAATTTATTCAAACTATTCGTTTTCCTACATTGATGAAAGTCGTACTTATTGATATTGATTTTTTTTGGTACTTTATGGATAGTCGCATTCGAAAATCATGTCTTTGAAGATGAAGCAGTTTCATAAGATGCTGATGAAAAGCTAAATATAATCTAGGAAGTTCATTAACTATCAATTTATCTGTTGTTGGCTAATGAAGAAATTTCAAAAGTGATTGCAGAGTGTGAAAAGGTTATATATGCTTTTCCTACTCTTTGGTCCATTCTCTGAATTGAAATTGATTATTGGATAATATGGTTGAATATAGAATTCATTTTCAATTCATGTCTTGATGTACCTCGAAATATCATACTTTCTATTTTGACTTGCATTAGGTAGTTTCAACAGTTTTGTTCATTTATTTTAAAACTGTTATATCTCATTGAATATACAATTCAATCCAAATGAGCGCCATTCAATCACTGCACTATTGTCAACGTAACACAAGTCCATTAGTTTAGTCAGAATAAAAATTGATAGATCAGAAAGTTATAGAAGTGCTTGGAAAGATGGTAGTCGGTTGGCGAGAGGTCTGAGGAGTATGGTGGATGAGGCAGAACTTCGTCTCCCAATTCGTTCAATTTTCGAACGGTGATTCGTGAAATTTGCGGACGATCGTTATCATGAAGCAGGATCGGACCTCTTTTATTGACCAGTGCCGGCTACAATAGGTTGTATTACGTTAGATCCAAAGTGAGTGGGTCTATTCGATCCTCCACCGTGGCTCACACCTATTCATACTCGACCAATTAAACCCAGCTTCTTAACGAAGCCTATTAGTTGATATGGTGAGTGGTCTTTCAGGTCAGATGGTAAGAGTGCGGCTCCGCCGAACTCTAAAACCTGATTCTGTCCCCAGCAGAGCAGGCATAAAGTATGTGCTCAGCTGTTTCATCATTTTTCAAACAGAGGCGACACACACTGTCTTCCGACAGTCCAAGTTTCTGTATATGATGATTCAAATGACAATAACATGTAAAAATGCCTGTTAGACATCGTAGTTCATCCCTACTGTAGTCCAATAACTGGTATCAAGCTTCGAAGGATGAATGAACGCCTTGGAGTGAGCCAATCCTGGAAGACTCTACCAGCCATGAATCTTCTGGCCATCCAGGTGTTCAATCTTTGTTTGGTAAAGTCAGCAGCCTCATTACCTTCCAGGCCAGTATGGCTGGGAATCCAGACCAGAGACAATCTCTTAAGTGCCTCCTATCAAGAAGACTCGTCTTTGGCAACTTGCTACCAATTTAGACGTTGCTCAGTAGGAGCAAAGAGCTTCCAATGCCGCTTGACTGTCCAAGAAAATTTTTATTGACTTGTATATGAGGTTGGATTCTTTCAATCTCTTCGCACAAAATTCATTAGCGTAAATTTCCGCTTTAAATACAGTCGCACAGGTTCCTAGGCAGATTGATATCTCTGTCCTGGGTCTGCGACTGAAAACACCTACACCGGAACTGGAAGCTGTTTCTGGTCTATCTGTGTACCAACAACTATCTACTCTTAATATTTCCTTCTCCCGGAGGATCCAGTCCTCTCTACTCGGGAACAGAACTTTATTAGGCAGTTCGTAGTTGACAGTTGATGGCATCCAGTCAGAGGTCATTTTCAGAATGCGGTGACTTCCAGTGTCAACCAACAGTCTGTTGCACTCTGCAATAAATCTCACAATAGGACTCTGCTGTGATGGTTTGGTCTGGTTGAAGGAAGTTGTAGTGGACTACACCAGCGGCTGATCACCATACATTGGTGGTCTTTTTGGTGGGTTTTCGCCTTTGGAAAAGTCTTTGGTGGCTCATCAGTGCCCAACCACTGTCCTGGACGTATCCTGTTGTTGTAGAGAATCGAATTGTCATCACAATTGTCGATCTGATCAAAAAAGGATCGTTTTGGTTGCGCAAAAGCAAAGAGAGCAGACCTCAAAACCTGAAAATGTATGTCAATCGTTTAAGCCGTGGGCACCCACTTTCCGAGCTTTTTGATATTTCCAATATATTTCAAACTATCAAAAACCGCGTGGGAGCTGACATCCGCCACCTCACGCACCGTTTGTGATGGGTTAGTCTCCACCAGAGTCCTCAAATCCTCTTCCTGGATTACTGTAGTTCGATCACTTCGAGGATCATCTTTGAAGCTAAAATCTCTGGAACGAAATTTCGCAAACCAAGGTCGAACAGAGAGTTTATTAACAGCATCATTGCCTGAATAATTTTTCGGGCTGTTGCGGCAGAGCGTTGGTTCATTTTGAATTCGTAGAGAAAAATAGACCGAAAATCGTTTAACGACATATTATAAGCTAAAAAGAGGCAGAACATTGAAATTTGGGAAAAATGAACAGCATCGATGTATAGAGTAAAACATTCTCTATCGATCAGTATACACCATAACACAGTAGAATAAATATCCATTGAGAAATGGGGCTACAAAAATAAATAACATTCAAACGGACAAAACTTTTGAAACAACAAGATCTTTGTCTTGTTTATCTGAACTACACACAAAAATTATGCATACTAGAGCAATCAAAGGTTATGATAAATGTGAAATTTACAAAATTACTGTAATTGAAAATACAACAAAGAATTGAAATAAACAACAATACTTTGATGATACACACCTGAAGTTGGAATCGTCATATTTCTTCAAAAACTCTTGTGCTTGATCATCTAAATCATTAGATACTACGTCAGGCTCAATTGTTTTAACGAGTTCCAATAATTGTAAATAATTTTTCCCGAAGTAAAGTTCAATGTCTTCAGGCACTTCATCATCACCAGCGCTGTGATTAATACTACCTGCCACGTATTGTGAGGATGGCTTGTTCTCTCCGTTGAAATTGAATTCATAGTATCTGTCGAAGTAGTTGAGTCCACTGGGGTGTTTGAGACTTTCCACATAGTCTCTGTATGTGATTCCTATAAATATAACAATAGTAACAGAATAACTAAATGTTCTACAGTTTCAGCTTCTAAGATGTGTAAATTCATTTAAGCTGATAGCTGATAGCTGATACCACTATTGCTATCTTGGAAACGGTAGGTCCTACAAAGACGGTTAGATGAAACAAGGGTTGCCTTTTTGAAAATACAACATAATGATATTCTCAGATCGATTGAATCACTAACCGTTTCTGAGATATTTGCAAAAAACTGAAAACGACAGATTTTTTTTGCTCTACCGCCTCCATTTTTAATAATGTCAAAAATTGACAAAGAAACGTTTTTCTTCATTTCATGTTTTCCATAGTCTTGTTCAATCCACTTTCAATGAGACGTTTCGTTCATTGAAATCCATCGTCAATATATATTTTTATGGACCTATATATATTTGTTATGGACCTATTTATATTTTTTATACATTTTGTTTGTCATTGTAGTTTAAAATTCTTCGACACATTACAACATATGAAAATATTTTTCGATGCTTTTCACGAAAACACATCATCAAAATTTTTTTATTAAGGGCTCAAATTTCCGAATGTTACTGAAATCCAAACAGAGTTCTTCCATCTATGATGTCGTCCATTGAGATCCTTAGTATTTGTATTTACTGAAACTCAAATAGATTTCTCTCAGGGTTGTCTTGTAGAAGAGAGAACACTGATCTTTGTATCAATACCAAGCCATTCATAATTTCCAAATGTCTTTCGAACATTTGTAGCTACCCAAATATTTCAGAAAATGGGTAAGTATACCAACAAGAATTAACTATCAACTAATAAAAAATACTGTGTCAAAAAAGTCATAGATGATATTCAGGAGAAACACGATGAGCGATAATGTCTTTTTTGAAGTAAGCCATGAAATACATAAATGTGCTTGTGATGCACTATTTGAAACCTTTGATGTAGAAATGAATATTATTGGAGTTTGATCCTAACACCAAACCGTTATTTTCCAAACCTCAATACGTGTTTCAATCACCAAGTGATCATCTTCAAGAGGAAGATTGAACTTGGTGATCAAAACAAGTGTCGAGGTGTTACAAATAACGGTTTGATGTTGGAATTGAACTCCGATAATTATACATGAACGTGAATGTCAAGTTAATTGTCAAACACAAACTGAAACAATTATTCAGTTTGGTGAGAGATTTTAAGGCAATAACATAATTTTTTCCAATGACAAAAAAGTGGATACACTTTTTGCTTATTCGAGATATTTGAGAAATGCTACCTCTGGCAATGTATCAGGAATTGCACCTTGAACAACGACAACCTAATCATATATATTTTCAACACTTGCTATATGAATAGCATTTTACAAGTGTGTTTCATGACCGAGAATTTCAAGAATGAGGTTTTAACGATGAACGAGAACAAGAATATTTCCTAGTTATTCAGCAAACTCAAACATAAGTTCATGCAGCTGCAGTTTCGCAGAATGCAGAATGTATCATCTTTTCCACCAACCGATTTCCTGGAGTCTTTGTAGTCAACCAGATACTCGTTAGGACAACAAGAGGATTGTTCCAAATTCTTGGGGTTCTTGTTGAATACTCTTCATGAGTAGGAAAATAGCAGAATTAATACTCCTGACCACTCTGGATTGAATGATTCCGTATAGTTTATCTCGTCTTGTGTGAGTAGATATTTTGCTGGAAAAATCCTCGCTAGTTTATATTGTAGTACATGTTCAACAGGTTATAAAAACATATGTGACTTTCTGTAATTTCAACTAGCTTTTCTTAATATGACTGATAAAACCAGTCCGTGCAAAGCTTATTGTTAAATCATCTAAAAATACAACTTTTAACGGTTGATGATCAACTTTATTGCCAAATATGCGCCAAAATATTTGGTGATTATAAGACAACAAGTATAGCTGAGGCACCAATCAATCTAATAATAACACTGATGATCTTCAAACATGACTCAACCTTTGACGGAAGCAACAAACTCTCACGAAGGTTCGAAATAGGTGAACACTTCAATCTGGCAGATCACTATTATAATCTTCATGCAGTCATTGTTCAGTGGTTCTGGCGTTGAATCTGGTCATTATTACGCATTGGTTAAAGACGAAACAAACTGGTTTAAGTTTGAAGATAGTCGTGTCACTGAATATTCTGGCGATATCTTGATGTGGTGCTGCATGTTTTTCAGGTTTCTCTGCAGCTAAAAAAACAAATGCGCCACTGGAATCAATCAAGTCACCCCGGAGCGCTAATTTGTTTTTGTTTCATAATTTGTATTACTTACGTATCTTCTTATTGAAACTATATTTATCAATGAAAACTCAAAATAAATTGAAATTTAGTTTACGAAATTATGGATCCTTCGAAAAACCCTCCAGAAGAAAATGTACGGTTACTGAATGTGGTGGCGATAATGAAATCGGCGTTTCAGGTATGTTCAAAAAGTTTCACAATAATGAAAAAGTGTCGTTCATTTGATTTAGAATTTGTGGAAAATAAAAAATTGAGAACAAGGAAGTACACCTAAGGAAGATTGCTTATAATTCAGCCATATCCACTACATCTGTACGGAAAATTTCGAAAAAAAATAAGTTCAAGCCTTATCGAGTCAGGAAAGTCCATCACTTGCGTTTGACGGATTTCAATAGGAGACAAGTTTTTTATAGATAGCTCATCAAAAGATTTCGCCAAATTAATGAAGATTACAAAAAATTGAGGTGAGATTGAAGTAGATTCACCAATAACGGATGGTTCACCAGGACTATCCATTATCACTGGCGACAATAAAATTAATATTTACACAGGATTATCAATTTTAAAGAGAGATATGGTATTAACGTATGGCTTGGTGTTCTTGGTAATAAAATTATTGAGCACCACTTTTTTGAAACATGTCTGACCGGATAATTATACTTGGTCTTCTTATCAGAGACTTTAATTGAGTTTCTAGAAGATTTGCCACTCAGGCACATCGCAGGAGAATGTGCAGAGATTTCCTCAATACATTGAGGAAATCTATGGCTACCACTTTCACCGGACCTTTCTCTTCTAGATTTTTTGTTATGGAGCTTCATAAAAGACGAAGTATTCAGAACAAATTTTGAAAATATTGAGGAATCGAAAGATTCAATAAGGAGAGCCTGCATGGCTATCACTTCACGGATGTTAGAGAACTGCCACAAGCACACTATTTCTTAAGCAAGTATGGAAGACAATCTGAACATTCAATGCGATATCGCGTGAGACGGTAACTTAAAAAATGTAACGTGAGGCATTTTGTTATGATGTTCATTATCTATGATCTATTATTTCGTTACATTCCCTTTCGCAACTGTTTCTTTTTCAATGTGATGTATCAACTATGTGCTTGCAACGATATTTATAAATTTGTTTTCTCATTGAAAAATTGTTAAATTATAGAAAAATGGGTTGATTTTAATTCTGAAAACATGAAATGAAGCAAGAAATTTCTTTGTCACTTTTTGATGTTATTGAAAATGCAAGTGGTGGAGCAAAAACCAAAATTTGTCATTTTCAGTTTTCAGAAATGGTTTTGGTGATTTTGTCGATCTGAGAATACCATCATCTTGCATCCCTAAAAAGGCAACTTTTGTTTCAACCGTTCTTGTAGGACCTACCGTTTAATAATTAGCAATAGTGGTATCAGCAAAAAAAAACGGCCTGGAATGATGAATGCATCGATCCGGTATATCAGATTTTGGTATTGTAAAGAGATGTTTAGAGACTTGAGAAAGGAAAGTGATTCATTAGAATAGTTGTATCAGTTGAATAATGAACTTGAATATCATCTGAATTTCGAAAAATGTTTCGAAAATATATCAAGGGAGACAAGGTACCTATTCGCCTTGCAACAATCCGACTGAATTTTTTATCTTCTTTCCCAAGACATAACCCATAACATGAAATACACATACTCTGTAAGTAATAGTATCTGTAAAATGCCAAAATTATTTTAAGAAGAATAGTGCTCAGAAATTCGCTGTATGGGACTACAGTACCATGTATAAACATATTCAGTCCTGATGTACCTATTCCAAAACTCTTCGTTCATAGAAAGTTTAAGATTTTAATCAATACTTTCCTAATGGAGTTCAATACAAACTATCTGTTGAACCGTTACACATAATATTTTTTTCTTACCTCTCCTCAGTGAATCGAAGTAAGCCTCTGGACCTGGAGGTTTGACTGGAGCGTATATCGCGGGCCTGTGGGACGGTGTGGGCCTTATCGTCGAAGTGGTCGTAGGGCGGCCATAAGAGGGAGTTGTTGGTGAAGGTCTCAGATCATATTTCATGAGTTCCGTCAAGTAGGCCAAGAGCTGCATAGCGGCGGGAATGTAGGAATCCAGCAGCAACGGTTTGTTTTCGAATTTGGGTGGAACCCGCGGCAAAGATTGTGAAAAAGATGACTGTGAAATGATGAAAATAATAGCAGAAACAATAACTGTTGTTTCGATATGGAGAATAAAGAATTTTGTCTCAGAAGCTTGAATAGAAAGACTCGATAAACGTTATCACAAGTTACTAGAGAATTTTTTTCAATAATAAAATCATTTCCATGTTGTTAAATATTGAATTATTCAATGAAGCAATATAATGTGGTTTTTCAGGACAAAATTATACTTGAAAATAGTGATACATTTTCTATATTAGTTTTTATCCCTGCGAGTAGAATTTTTTCAACTCATCATGCCTCTGAGGTATCTAGATAATGTCATATATGTTCTCTACCTTTTTACGTTTACAGTATCATTTTCTCCGAGATGGAGACTCAAGTTCACTTATGAAAGTTATTCTTTGAATATTTGGTGTTTAGATTTGATCAAATTAAAAGCATTTCTGTGTGGTTCGTAATCAGCACTCCTGTGATATTTTTCACCATTAAGGTATACTATAAATTTGTTTTGTATCGTTTCAATTCTTAAAGTCATCGATGTTGGTATCCCGAAAATAGAGCCAAATTCCCTATGACTGCGTGAAAGATACAACTGCAGTGTTTTAACGCTTTTACGTTTTAAAACGTAAATAGTCACAAAAAAAAGGATGTGCGTCCATCCCATTAATCAAAAGAGGGCAAATCTGGGAAAGTTTCATCGACCTGAAAAAAGACGAGGAGAATATTTTCCAGTATTTCCGAAGAATTTTAACCAAATTTTCAAAACTTTTGGATATTATAGAGCTTGCCTTAACAAGCAACTCAATTTTTCATCGTCTATTTTCATGGGTACCATCTGACACCGTGCTGTCAACTTATGGAATAGCAAAACTGAGAAAAAGAAACTTCCCAGGCCCGTTTGGATAAGTTAATGCTGGCAAGCGCTGGCCGGCGATGCGCTCACTTGGCCAGTCCGTCACAGCACGTTCCGTTATTTGCCGGTCAGGATCAGAGAGCTGGAATCCTTTCCGGCGGCGGACGCTCTTGGCTATGCCGTGCATGGCTGGTGGGCGGTTGTCCATTCACTTTCATTGTTCCAATCCTATAGGTATTTTGACGGGACGGACCGTGCTGTGCTGTGCCGGACAAGTGGGCGACAAGCTTTAAGCTTGCCAGCATCGACTTGTCCAAAAGTGCCTGGGAAGTTTCTGTCTTTCTGTTGTATCCATCAGTTGACAGCACAGTCTCAGACAGTACTTATGAAAATGGACGAGGAAATATTGAAATGCTTGTTAAGGCAGGCTCTGGAATATCCAGAAGTTCTGAAAATTTGCCTGGAGTCATTCGGAAATACTGGAAAACTTTCTCCTCGTCTTCTTTCAGATCGTTGAAAATATGATTAAACTCTCCCAGATTTGCCCTTTTTTGATTAATAACATTCTTTTTTCTGACTATTTTCTTCTATATTGAATTATCCGGCCACTATAATGACGTCTTCTTCGTCAGAACTGCTAGTGATAGACATATGTTTCTGTCACCGCTCGATGCCAACTGAAATTTCCTTGAAATTGAACAAACAGCGCCTTCAGTAGGCGATGCTACTACCCGTCGCCATCAGGCGACGGACAGCGCCGTGCTATGCTGTGCCGGACAAGTGGACGACAAGCTTAGTCCGGCCGTACACGGACCACAGATTTGCAGTTGAGGCAACCACAACATTGTGGCCACGTAGACTGCACTTCTTTTGACCCAACCACATTTTTGTGGTCGACTTGCGATTATATAAATCGCACTTCCAGTTAAGACAACTGACATCAAAAATTGAATGCTGTGAGACCAATATGTATGCGGTTGGGTACGACTACAAGTTTCTGGTTAGTGTACGGTGGATGCCGCGATGACATCTCAGCGGAGATCAGCAGCAAGTTGACTGCTGACGCCCGTTTCGACTTTTGTGAACGCCCGTGTACGTGTAGTACAGTATTTCTTATGGGCGGCTTGAGTTCACTGGAACGCGACTGCAATTGTGTGGTCGATCCGACCGCAAAATGTGGCTCGTGTACGGGCGCTCTTAACTGACCAAAAATATATTCGGTCTGCAATACATTCGGGCCCGAGAGACTTTTTTTTACCTGACGGAGTGCAGGAGCGTACTCTATAGTTTTCCCTAATACACTACAGTTTGGGTCAAATTTAGTAATTGAAGTTTGACCACCTTCCTGTTGACAGATTGATCTGATATTTCGTACACACATTTAGTTTTGATGACAATTCAATTGAATAAATTCTGTATCATTTCAAATCCAAGATGGCCGCGGCTATGAAATGGTGGATTACATATTATTTCACAATTATCTCAATATGGGTATCAAATGACAAGGCTTGACTAGTAGAATAGTAGTAGTCGGAATACATATTCTCTTGTAATACTGAGGCACTAAATGAACTGAACAAAATTTGAAACTAAATACCGAAAAATAAAATAAGTAAAAAAATTATTTCAAACGGTTACATTGGGAAAAAAAAGATAATGATGTAGATAATGTACTGAAAACTAAAAATTGATTCGGGAGGTCATCACACCACATTCCCCAGGAATCTACGGTATTGATCAGATGGAAAAATTATAAAGTCGTTGGGAGTAATATTTACATATTTACTCAGGTTACTCTACGCCCGATTTAATTTTTTTTTAATCTGATCAATATCGTAGATTGCTGAGGAGAGTGGTGTAATGACTGCTACCTAGGACCTTCCGAATTATTTTTCAGTTCTCAGTACATTATCTACATCACTATTACCGTTTTTTTCAATAAAACCGTTTAACATAAAAACATTCACTTATTTTATTAAAATCTCTTGTTATTCATTCGAAAAAACCTAACATTTCGTTTGCCCGATATGTTATGTATTCTTTATGGTTATTTATGCAGTGGAATAGGGGAAGCAGCATATCATGCTCATTTTACCTTTTTGATGAATGTGTAATTGTTGTCATTGTTCTACAAAAAAAGTTCAGAAGTATGTAAAGCTCATGCCACGAGGTTCAGTTTTGTTTGTTTTTAGACCAAAATATAAAGTCTGTTGTTGCTCTCTTTCTGATATGTTGGCCGATACTTGATGAAAATACATAACGTGTTCAATTAACACTTCATCGTGAGCTTTTCACGAACTGAAAAGTTTACAAAACTACTAGTTCAATTTAATGAAATATTTGGAAAAACTTGAGACTATTATCGCATATCCAGTGCGACTAGCCGCAGCATACAAAGTAATTTGAATTGAAAAAAGATGATTTCTATTATAGTTCGGCAGAGATTTACAATGATCGATTTTCACCTTGTTTTCAGGTTTTTTGAGTTTATTATTTAATGAATTTATGTTTTTCTGTTTCATTCATTCTTTATTCACATATGGCAATATTTATTAATTTTATTACTCGTGTAAGTTTTATCAACAATTTTTATTTGGACAAATTTGGAACAAATATTAACTATTCATCTCACCTGTACAACTATTAAAGTGATGACACTCCGCACTGTACACAAACACATTTTGTCGATCCCAATTTCTGGAAATATCAAATGCCGATTCAAGAAAAACAAGAGGCACTCGATCAGAGGTATTTCGCGCCAACGATGATAAGTCAATAACAAGAAAAGATGCCACAAATTCTGTTCTTCGTGAAGCAGCGTGGAAACCAGTTCACGGCGAACGAAATCGATAAAAATAACAAGGGAATAACTGTTGTTCTTCGAGCATTGTTTGGCGTCCGCCTCAACGATCACTGACAATAGGTCCATATAAATAGGTTTTCTTCAGTATCCGCTTTGAAGAATACACTTTACATCTTCAATTTTCACCTACATCGTTTAGCGAAGCTGCCATTGACCAATTTTTTGTCAAATTTAGACCTTATACCCAGTTATCTGGATATTGCTATTGGTTATTCACATCAATGCATAAAAACGATATAAAAGTTGAAGATATCTTTTACAGCTTTCAAAATGAACTGAAATCGGTGCTGTAAGCATCAATATCACCCTATAGCTGTAATTTCTGGAATCTTGGTAATTTTTAACAAACAAGTGGGCGTCTTCAGGAGATGAAGAAAAGGTTTCTTCATCTCCTGGTGCTTGCTTGTTTCTGGATAGAATTGTGTATTGGTTGGGGTTGATGGAAATACGAATGATACGCATCAATTATATTTGCATTGAAAATTTTATTTTTTCAAATTGAGTTTATGATATTGAAACACTGAGTTGTCTGGTGTGGTTTACTCTGTTGTCAGAGAAGTAATCTAGAATTAAAAATAGTCCTTCTAGTCGAAACATTTGGATAGAAAATTAATCTCTTTTGTGAAAGCACTCATGAAATATTTTTGACTTACCATCTTGATTATAGGGCCCACTCATGATTCAGGAGGCTGTAGGTAATATTAGTGGGATATATTTCTGAGAATTCATTTCTGAATTCAATCTTTTTTCATCATTTTATATTCAGAACCAATTTGATGGTTTACAAGTTCTACGCGATATGTAAATATTAATGCTGTGACCAAATATTTTTATAAACTTTTTTGAATATCCACATACGTATTTCCAAACCACAAGTGGTGACAAATAAAATACAATTACAGAAACAGATGTGTTTCAAGTATTTTGATCATTATCAGAATTTTTTACAGAACATTCATGTGATTCTATTTTTTCGCACAGAAACTTTCAATCTCTCAATAATAATTTTCATTAATAATATTCAGGTTCTAGCCTTCACTGAAAACAATGAAATTGAATTGTAATTCATAAATTTGATCCAGTGATGAAGTTATTTTTCGAGTTTTTTTACTGTGGTCTGCATTTTATGCCTGCCGTTTCGTCAACTACTGCGGTAGACATTATCAAATGCGATGTGGTAACGTTCGCAGTGCCTGAGTTGATGTTCGAGTTAACTCTACGATAATGGTATTTGACTGTGGTTGTATTTTATTATTTGTGGGCGTGGCTTGGCTTCTCCTACCTTTTTTGTGTACCTGTAAGGACAGATAACCAGGTAGATGTTCATTGCCTCTTTTTTCTATCGAAATCATCTCTGTGTTTTCGAATTTGTATTGTCTCTCTTTATATTCTTGGATAGTAATTTTGAGTTTTACCAATTATCATGGTATATTCGAATGAGATAATGTGAGTTCCTTCTTTGTTGAAAGTATATTTGGCCACAGCTGATTTTTCGGTTTGTGTGAGTCAACAATTTCTCTTGTATTCATAGAAACGGGTACCCACACTTTTTTTCGTGGTTTTAATATAGACCGACCCACAGCTACAAGGAATCCGGTATACTCAGGGTGTTGCTGAAGGTTATCTGGGGTCCTTAGCTTACCATGCACTTTGTCTGATAGTTTTTGTTGGCGCTGGAAATGGCTACAGCGAAGGGGAATTCGAATGGGCCATACGACCCAGTAGAGAAAACGTCAAATCAATCCCGGCTAGGCCAGTCGAAGGAAAAGCTTTCCTTTCCAATATTGAAAATGTTACAGACCGAATTAAAGAATCTTATAATAGAAACACGACGTGTAATCAATATTTAGCCCAGCAAAAACTATCAGATAAATTCTAGGGTCAGCTGATGACCTCAGAGAACCTTTAGCAACTCCCGGGGTATACCGGATCCCTCATAGCTGCAGGTCGGTCTACATTGGAACGACGAAAAAAGAGGTGGTTACCAGTCTCTCTGGAAAAAATTCGGCTCAAACAAACCGACAAATCTGCTGTAGCCGAACATGCTTTGAACAAAGAAGGGACTCACAATAACTCTTTCGAAGAGTAATACTCGGTAAAAGGAAAAATTACTATCCTATATTGAGAGGCAATAGAAATTCGAAAACACAAACGAGGGCAGATAATCGAATTAAAAAAACAAGTTAGGCCCACTGATAATTGTATAAAACTAATCGAATTGAAAAAACAAGTTAGGCCCACTGATAATTATATAAAACTAGAGTCAAATACCAGTATCTCATAGTTAATACGATCAAAACAACAACTCCAGCACCAACTTGGACACTGCATCGCCTTCGTTAATGTCTTCCATAGTAGTAGACGAAACGTTTGAAATAAAAACCTGCAGGCCATGGCAAAAAAATAGCTCCCACAGAGTTATCTCCGGCCGTGAAAATTTACATTCTTTGAATTGTACTGGCGAACCACCCCGGCTCCGCACAAGTGCAATGCTGATACTGAATATAAATTCACCCACCGAAAATTTAGGAGCATGGAAAAACAGAGATGAAGAGATAATTTTGTTTTATGGACGCCCCTCATTGCACATCCACAACATACAACGAACCCACATATAAAATTTCAGTCTTCGAAAATATAGAGGTACGGAAAAACAGTGATGAAAAGGTAACCACATTTTATGGACCCGCCTTTTCCCCAGTGACTGGCTTCCTAGTTGAGAAATTCAAAAATCCTTTCTTATTGCACATCTATAACATAGAAAAGGTAACCACATTTTATGGACCCGCCTTTTCCCCAGTGACTGGCTTCCTAGTTGAAATATTCAAAAATCCTTCCTTATTGCACATCTATAACATAGAACGAATCTACATAAAAAATGTCGGCTTCCGAAATTATAGCGGTATGAAGAAAAGGGATGAAAAGGTAATTTTCATATGTATTTCACATATTAGATATATGAAAAACACTGTAATAAGGAAATATCTAAGATCTATATATATACATATGAAATTTCAGCCTCCGAAAGTATAGCTGTACGGAGAAAAAGTGATGAAAAGGTAACTTCATTATATGGACCAGCCTTTTCCCCAGTGACTGGCTTCCCAGTTGGAAATTGCACATCCACAACTTAGACTAACCTACATATAGAATTCCAATCTCCAAAATATAGAGGTGCGGAGTAACAGGTAACTTTATTTTATGGTCCCGCCTTTTTCCCAGCGGCTGGCTCCCTAGTTGAAAAATCCAAAAATCCTTTCTTATTGCACATCTACAATATGAAACGAACCTACATACAAAATTTCAGCCTCCGAAAGTATAGCTGTACGGAGAAAAAGTGATGAAAAGGTAACTTCATTATATGGACCAGCCTTTTCCCCAGCGGCTGGCTCCCTAGTTGAAAAATCCAAAAATAATTTCTTATTGCACATCCAACTTAAAACGAATATACATATAAAATTTCAGCTTTCGAAAATATAGCGGTACGGAGAAATAGTAACGAAAAGGTAACTTTATTATATAGACCCGCCTTTTCACCAGTGGCTGGCGCCTCAGTTGAAATATTCAAATTTTTTTATTCACATAAAAAAACTCACATACAAACTTTCAGCCTCCAAAAATATAGCGGTACGGAGAAACGGTAATTTTCATATGTAAACGCTCCTCTTTTACGCCCACAGAGGGGCGCCCCGGTTTGAATATCCAAAAATCCATGCTGAGTAAGTATTTTAGACCTGAGAAGCACCTATATGTATACCAAATGTTAGCTTCCTAGGACTCACCAGTACGGAGAAACAGAGATCATAAGTAGGTATAGATTCAGTTCCGATGTGCAACTTCATAAGCCTTTTGATATTGAATCAATATCCATTTATCTTTTCAGCTAGATATTTGATTTTTGGTTGAAATTTCACCGTATTCTCCATGTCAACTCTGTGCAGGCAGCTGCTGTCACTTTTCAATTCTCGATAGATTCATCTTTTCGTTTTCGATCATGTACAGAATCAGAGTTTTTCAAATTTTTTTTCGTTCACTGGTGTTCACGGAAAGTGAGCTGTCATTGGGTAGTATCATTGAACATTGGGCTATTGTGGTTAGATAGATAGATAGATAGATAGATAGATACTTTATTCATGTTGTTACACAAAAGTGTTTATACATACGTCACATAAAACAGTTACAACAGAAAGTAAAAATGTGAAAATTACAGCGAATAATTAAGTTATTTAAAATCCATTACAATCAACACCATTTGTCAGACAATAAAAACATATTCGAACACAAATATGTATAGCTTTGTATACTTCATAAATACATAAATTCAGTTACTTGATTACAAATAGGGTATCGGATATGAAAAGTAATTGAAATACTCTTCAAAGGAGTAGAAACATTCCTCGATCAGAATACTCTTTACTTTCTTTTTGGAGACATCGTCAACATAACTAGTTACATGTATATTAGTTGGTTTGGACAAATTGAACATCATATCAATAACATAGATTATAAAAAGTAGAGGACCTAAAACAGAGCCCTGCGGAACTCCATGTTTCATTACAACAAAATCCGAGATATTGTCTTGCCACTTGACTCTTGATTTCCTATCCATAAGATAGGATTTAAATAATTCCAGTTAGTTTCCCCGCACTCCATAGTACTCCATTTTATTTATCAAAATTTTATGATTTACAGTATCAAATGCGCGGGAAAGGTCATAGAGATTTGCCATACAACATTGTTGATTCTCGAGTGAGTCTAATATTTTTTCATAGGCTTCGCACAAAGCAGTAATTGTCAATCTGTTTGACCTATAACCGTGTTGGAATTTTGTTAGCAAGCTATTTGTTTCAAAATAATTTGTAAGTCTGTTTTTTAAAATATTGAGTTCGTGGTGGTGGTTGTTCCTGCCGTTTTGTTGAATTCTGTTTCAAACTTTCGTCATAAACATCACATTCAATAGAATTATTTTGAGAGAAATTTCATTTTCAACTCTATCATACTTTTTATTTTATGATCTGATGGATTTTTAAAATTTTGACGACTTCACTTGAATCATATTGTCGAATCACAAATAAGTTATTGATATACCGTTCCCACATTTTCAGACGACGGATATTCATAACAAAAGAAAGATGAGAGCCGTTACTTTTTTCGATAAAAATCATTTCTTCATTGATAATTAGGTACTTTTAAAATTATTTCAAATATTTATTTCAATGGAATCGTTGTCATATTTGAGCTAGTGAGCAATGCTTTTCTACCAAAATCTTACGTGGAGATTGACTACAGGAGTAATAAACTTATCAAAATCAAACTTACTAAAACATTATTTTTGTTGAAAATTAACTTTCCATGAGATTTGGCAACATTTGAAGGAAAATCGATAAGGAACACAATCTATGCTAACATTGAGAAAACTATATATTCCATAACTGAGTGAAAATTCTCAGAAGTGTTATAGAGTTTTTGTTATCTTCAACCCGCAATCTCATAATTACCGCACGAAAGTGAATTTAAGTATTTTTCAATGTCATCCGGTCAATTTGATCTATCGAAACAGGAATCTTCTTCGTCGAAATTTATAATTTTCCCCCAAACAACTTGAGGTTATTAACACATCAAGGTTATTCTTCATTGTTCTGGTTATATTTATGCTGCGGGCTACAATCTGAAGACCTGTTTGGGTATCGATGCAAAATTTTGTTTTCAACCAATATTCAGTCAGTTCTGAAGATGAAATCAATGAATCGCTAATCACAAGCACACCAGCATGAACGAAATATTCGCATATATTATTTCCCTGAATCTCACACAATAGGTTCTGAATTCCATTTTTAATATTGGTGAAAGAATTGAATTTTTTTTCTGTCATCAGAAGGTAAAGTCGTATAGCTCCGAAGCAACAAAATATTCGATGTTGAATATTGCATTATCTGGTTTCAAATTTGTTTGATATTGATTCCTGCTGACACCGAATTGTATAATCGATAAATGTTAACACGATAACGGTACACAATTTTTGTACCGTGAAGACAGGAGCAGTCAACATAGATTTTCTGCAAATTTAATTGTGATTTTTTAACATCCATGACCTGAGCTGAGGATGAAATGAGAATGAGTGACAACTTATTATGTTCTAGATGAATTATCATTTGATCATTATGAAGCTGCTAATAAGAATCATTGTACTTTGAAATTGAAATATGATAAATATTTTTGTCATTGTCATTGGTATTCGATTCATATGCCCAAACAGACGCAAGATGAAAGAAAAGTGAATATTTTCAATCATCATAACATATCACTAATAGAAAAAAAAACACTGTAACAAATTATAATGAATGAATAAATATATTTCGAAACAAAATTCGAATACAAATGTTTTTATTCATTATGTATATAGCTAAGCATTTGAAATGATTTTCAGACAAGAGTGGCCATGAAAATATACACAAAGTTCAGGTTGATGTGAGCCTTATTGATGATTTGAATGTACTACTGATTTCAGAAATGGCATTCGCCTTAAATTAAAAGAAGGAACCGTATCTGTAGAGTAGGGAGGGTGGGTGTATGCCCACAGCACCTAGGCCACATGTGACCCATTGTACATCCTCCCGAGGAGTTGTCCTCCTAGGTCATCGTCCATCCTGTCCTTTCCAGGAAGTTGGACAGGTCTCTGGGAGACATCTCCTTTATATCGGCACGTGTAGGCCAAGGCTCGCCGAACACACACTCTCTCATTGACGATAACTCTGGACATTCGCGTAGGACATGCCTGACAGTTTCATTTTCCTGTTCACACATACTGCATAGAGGTGTGTCCACTAGCCCCGTATTGTGGAGATGTTTTCTCAGTTGACAGTGGCCAGTCAGAAATCTTACTGTTAAGAGTATATTTTTCCTGGTCATTCCTTTGATTTCTTCCCATCCCTTTAGGAATTGAGCATGGGTGTGCCGTTCAGCTGGTTCCGCAATTGTCGAAGTGATCAGGCCGTAGGTGCCACTGGGTCCTAAAATTCTTAGTCCAGCCGCTTCCTTGGCTACAGAGTCAGCAATGCAATTACCTTTACTCCTGTCGTGCCCTTTAACCCGCTTCAGGATAATGTTATTATCTACCGAGGCTTTGGCTAACTCTTGGTGGCACTCTGGTACTAGCCCTGAGGTAACACGTCTGTTCAAGGCTAATAGGGCTTGTCTGCTATCAGTGCAGATTGTTATATTTTTGCCAGAAGTTCCTTTCCTGGTTATTTCTTTTGTGGCGATTAAAATAAGAGCGGGTATATTTTTCAGGAGAGATTTATATAAAGAATCTGTTAAACTTCCGAAGAATGGATGAAAACAATTAAGTTCAAAATTAACTCTAAACAAAGATGTGGGAATTATGTACAAAATTTTCTCTCAGACACGGACTGAAAAAAAGACAAAAAGTCCTTTCAAAACAATTTGAACATTGGAGTTCATAGAAAATACTGTTTTCATTTGATTCATCACAAACATTTATTATGGAATTGAAACAGATATCACTAACATAAAAACTGCACAATAAATTGAAGAATATTGATATAAAATTCCACTTACAAAAAATTAGTACCTACCTCTCTGAACTTCTGAAGAAGAAAACACGCGCATTTTCCTTGAACAAAATCATTACTTCCTGACAAGATGAGACAAATCTGCGTAAAACAATTATACAGATATTTGATTTCGATCTCTAACGTAGAATTTAATTTGAACTCATGTGCCTTCCTTCCTATTTTTGAAAGTTTTCAATATTTTTTGAATCAATATGGAGAAGTAGAAAACCAAGAAGGCATTCTGGTAGATACATTTTCATTATGCACTTATTAGCTGAAGTAAAATAAAAATTGTTCAGCATGAAATAGTCAAGAATCCCAGTGAGAAGCAAGCCATGACCACTCTAGACTAGTGTTTTTAAATAATCAAAATTCATTACTTTCTAACAATCAAACTTTCGGATTCTGTGCCTGTATCACATTATTCAAATGCGCAGCAGCTCCATAAGCAAGACCTACAATACTTCCTAAGATCTCAGCAAAGAACACCCCGATGTGTCCGATCCTTCCAGCTGACGCATTATCTCCAACGTTCTCTTCCTCTGTTATTTCCGTACTCCCTGGGTCTCCACCTATCTTCAAATTCAGTTTGAGAGGAGCTCCGTAGTTTCTATTAGGGTAAATAACTTTCTGGAAGGTTTGTTGTTCACTGATCAAAGGAGTCGTATTTTCTGTTTTCTTTGTATCGATTTCAAATTCTTCAGGATTGTTGTCTTGGGTATCAGATGATCCTTCATTACTGTGATTGTTGCCTCGTACAACAGTTGATATAGTGGATATAAATCTAATTTTGGCTAATATTTTGTTCAATTTCTTCTGGAACAAACTCGGAGATGCTTCATTTTTGTCCTCATCAATATCATCATCGAAATGGAAGTTATCATTTTCCACTATTTGTTTTTCCGCTTGTAGCTTCTCTGCTTTATCTTGCCTTCTAGTTAAATCTGCGATATTGGTTACTGGACCTGGAGGACTCGAAGCTGAAGCTGAAGCTGATGTTGCCAAGTTTGTTAGTGCGATAGGTGCGTTGTAGAGGAATGGTTTGGCCCAAACCGTTTGTAAAACCTGGAAAAAATCCATAAATATATGGGAAGTTTCATGTTGTGATATGATTAATCGAAATAATCTTATTTAAAGTTTTCTCAGGATCCGTTCTTCATATAGAAGAGATGTTAATGAAGTAATGAAAATAGTTCAACTTGGTATCTGGTGAGAAAAATATCTTGTTATTGTTTCCTATAGAATTCTATAGAACACAGCCACGTTTCATTTCAGCTTGATCATTTTTACAGAAAACGTGAAATGTAAGGATTACATATTAGCAAAAAAAAAATGAAACTTGATATGAGAAAATACAGAATTTGAAGTACCGGTAAGCCCGAACTAGGCGGGTTGGCTGTCCTTGTTCATCTTTCACTGCCTGAACTATTGTGCATTGGCTTGGGATGTGGGGGTTGAGCAAACCGGCCATCAGATGCCTGTTTCCACGTAGCCCCGCTGGATACGGGAATGACAGAATCACTTGTTGTTTTGTTATTTCTAACAATGGCTTAATCCTAAGGTATGTGTATCCGTGCAGAGAAGATGAATGACACTGAACTTAACAGCTGTCTCTACGGAACCTTCGAGATACCGGGCGCCTTCTCGTCGTATCATCGCCTTGTCACGGTAATGCGGAGCTCTGCCTCTTTCCCTAGCTACTCGTGGGACTTTTATGGACAGGGTTAACTTGAAAATTCTCTCTGACGCTGAGTCTACAGAGGAGATGGATGTCGAGCTTACGACTCCAACCGACCTCCCTGTGGCTTTTGATCAGGAGCGAGAGCTTCTCAACTCTCCGATTCCAGATCCAATAACTGAACCCAAAAAAAAAAGTTTTGGTGGTGCAGTACCTTATGAAACCGCCTTGCACCAAATTCTTGAGCGGCGTACGCAGAATCTGTCTCAGGTGGAGGAACATACCTCCCTATGAGCAGGTTAGCAAACGTTGGCGCTCAAGTTATGATTCATCACAACCAGCGCCAAAAAGCCCTGCACGGTTGAATGTGAGGCATCGTCAGGTATAGCTGACGTGCAAAAACCCTCATTTGAGAAGGTTGTCGCGGGTATCAAGGTGAGAATCTTGCACCTTGAGTATCCGACTACCTCATTAACGATGAAAAATCAGAGCATATACTTTGTGTCTACCACACCGGGGACCGAATCAGGTTTTTAGAGTTCGGCAGAGCCGTACTATACCATCTGACCTGAAAGACCACCCACAATACAAACTAATCGGCTTCGTTAGGAAGCTGGGTTTATTTGGTCGAGTGTGAGCCACAATGAACCCTTGCGGGTTGCGGTGGAGGGTCGAACAGACCCACTCTCTTTGCACCTAACCTAAGCTCGAACTATGATTTTCTTGGTACGATGATTCACTTTGTTTTAAAAAATCGGCTATGCGTGAAAAAATCAATCCAAACAATATTTGTTATTCACAGACTGAAAAATACCCTGGGAAAAGCTTCATTAGTCAATGTTCACTATGCCCTCGCTAATTCAGCAATCATATAATATTTCTAACCAGCAACAATGTTTTATGATTTCATGGTGCTGCAACAGTTTTATTTTGTTGGTATTCAATAATTACTTTCAAAATGCTAATTGATTGTACTAGACAAGCCGTGAAAACAATACAGTTTTAGGCAATAAAATTGTTCTATAAATTTGTTATAGAAACGTGCATGAAATAAAATTAAAACGTCCTCATTAAATAGTCACATAAGAATAAAATGCAGCACTGAAGAAGAACCTGGTGACATTGTTTTTAGAGGTCGTGTAATGAACCCAACCTAACCTAACGTTATAGAAGCTACATGTCTCATTTACAAGAATAAACCTTTATATGAAAATAACAATCGCACTGCACGGAATGATGAAAGTATGGTAGAAAAAAATGTTATCCATATTATATTCATTAAAAGCTCGTTTCACATAATATGTAGTCGATAAGATAACACAGAAATAAAATATAATGATTCAGCGACTGCCTCCTTATTCTCGCCAACTCAGTCCCATTGAACTCGTTTAGGCTCCTTGCGAGAATTGATGAAAAAGACAATATGTGGAAAATATCCCATACAGCTGAGGAAAATGTAGAACCTTATGCTTGAACCTTATATTTTCTCAAATGAATCGAAACAATATCAATTGTCCATGAATAAATAAGCATAGTTACTAGCTTTAACAAGAATTTTTGATTATATCCTAAAACGAAAGTGCAGGTGGAAAAACGACCCGAACTCTTATAAAATATTTTGTTTGCAACCCATTTGCGATACAAAATCTGGTGAACCCGATAAAGTATTATAAATCCGCCTATACTTGCTGTAGCAAATCATAACGAAATCACAAAATTTTATTTCAATTGTATTTCAAATGAGCAGTTCAGAAGGCAATGTGAGTTCAAAACGTAAAACATTTTTGGATAAGACTTACATATAATAGTGAAACAACTTCAATCACACTTCTAAACCACATATTCACAGAGTAACCTACTAGACTCGTTAACAGAAAGACAAAGAGTAAATTTAACAAAGAATATCGAACAATGTGATTTGAATAAATAGCTTGTCAATCCCTCTTTGGAGATTCTTGCAAAACTTGGTTATTGGCCTTTGAAAAATAATATCGGAAGGTCTCCTCTTGGCCCATTTACCACTATTGAATATTGAAAGAGTTATTGGAAATGCTACCTGCATGCTAATAAGTGATAACATTTGTACACTAATTCAGTTATTTTGATATTCTTGTGGGAAATCGATTCTCGATCAAATGAATGACTTCCATTCAGTTACTTGATCAAAATGTTGACTTTTTCTCACCGACATTTATATCGCACATGATACAATGTTACCCATTGAAAAAGAGAGAACCGATTTTTCATTGAATGGAATTTTAATTTTTTTTTTCATTAGGTAAAAATTCGATATATCATGAAAAACAAAAATTTATGATAGTCATTTGACGATTTTTTCAAAATATTACTATGCCACTAGATTCACATCTCAAAATTATGTCGAAACGCTATTCATACATTTTCTCCTTTTTTAATTCCAAATTTAAAACATACACGTAATTTATAAATATTTACTTTCAGACATTTTCATCTGAACGGTGTGAAAGTTCAATTATTTTTAAGTTGTTTGTATTCACCTGTCTATGCCGGAAAAATTTGGATGATAATAGGTATTAAAAAAGTATTTCATATTACATGGGTGTATCTATTAACGAAGGCGCTGAAGGGCTACATGAAATTTCTATTTTATAGTCGACAATTCAAACGTTTTATCAGCCATAATCGATAGTTTAAATTTTCGATTATCAAAAAACTAATCAATAGAGTTTATTCTATCATAGAATAAACTCTATTGATTAGTTTTTTAAATATGGATTTTCATCAAGTATCGGTCAGTTCTATTCAATTATTTTCGATTATCGACAGCCTCAGGGAAACTGAGGCACTCTACAAAATTCTGTCAACACTATTATCAAATTATTAGAATATATTTCTCCTGAGACCGCCCCTTATACGTCTCCTCACAATATATAGTTCATCTCGTTGAAATATGTTGTAACATGCAGGTTCTGTTCTGTGGCAAAACATCGAAATATCAATTGTAACCTAGATAGAGATATAATTAGGATACGACATTAAAAAATAAATTTTTATAGGAATGTAGACTTTCACGGCTGGCGTCAATGTTTTGGTTGGTTACAATTTTCAAACGTACCAACTGCAACTACGGCAGCATCTCAGTGGCGTGGTCGAAGTACTCTTCTTGACGTATCAACTGAAGCTCTCATTTCAGCCATGTCCTTTAAAGTGCTGAATTTTCGCGCACTTTCTTTGGAAACCATAGGAATTTACAAATACCAAGAGAATTTCAACAGAAAGGAAGAGAGAACATATTTACCAAAGATTTAGCACACAGCGAAAGGTGCCAAAACGAAGCCATGTCACCCAAATCGCGCGGGAAGTACGCGTGAACGCGCCATTACAGAAAGTGCGCGATAAATCAGCACTATACATGACATGGCAGAAATGCGACCATCAATTTCAGTTGATACTTCAAAAATATTATTTTCACTACACCACTGAAGATGACTGCCGCAGTTGCAGTTGAAACGTTTGGAGATTGTAACCAAAGAAGACCGCGGCAAAATCCGGAAACCAAAACAAATGAATTTTTATTGAAAGTGATCTTTTTTCGATTTTAAATATATATGAGGTGATCATATACAGGGTGATTCAAATTCCATCCTCACCATTGGGATCTCGGAAACTAATAAAGATAATTGGGGCAGAGTTACGCATTCACCTGACTAACAATATGCCGTTGAAAAAGTTCTGAAATTCCTAGTATATCCGGAGATATCCTGAGAAAACAGAAATTTCGGAAAATGGTTTTTATTTTCTTCTGGTTTCATTTTTTGAAAGATTCGAAAATAAATTGCACTTCCACATTGGCATTTTTCACTGCTGCATAATGGTGTTTACAGATTTGCTTTACGTTTCGTCTTCCGGTCACCATCATCAACTTTATTGTTTCTTAGGGGCGCTACATTGGATTCTTTTTTGAATAGAACCAGATTTTAACTTTTCAATGATGTATCATAAGTTATCATTCTTTTCCGAAAAATTGGAGGTATTGAAAAAAATTAATTCTTATCATAAAAGGCTTTGACTTTGATGCTTCTAAATTTGACTTTCAATTTGTTATGCTCAAATGATATTTTGTTATTGTACAAGTCATTGAGGTTTTGGCGGAAACTGGCTTTCACGAATGAAGAAAAAAGAGATATGATACAAATTTATTACAAATACGATAGAAACATTGTTAGGACATCGAAAATGTATTTAAACTTGTATCCCGAGAGACAATGAAAAAATACGGAGACAGAATCGACAATCAAAATTTGATAAATGATGTGAGTATGAGGTAAATTAGACACTGTCTCCTTTTCAATGACAAAAAACTTCGAACAGATAACAACAATTAAATGAAATGTAAAGACAAAAGTAAATTACAGCAAATGCTCAAAATGCTGGCCTTGTTCATAATTACATAACTGTGCTCTTCTTCGAATATTATTCACTGCTCGCCATGGTAGAGGGGTTAGTCGTGGGCTTCGGCGATTTCAAATTAGATTCAGGAAATATTTATTTAAAACTCAGTGATCCATTTTATTATTATTATTCTTATCACACCATGCCTTGATTACAGTAGAACGGATTATTTTATAATAATACTCTTATAACACCGCAGCAACTTTTTGAGGTCGAGTGGAAGAGCAATTAATAACGTTATTAATATCGTTATTAAAATTGAACTTCGCCTTTTGTTTCCAACTTACTCATATTTTTGTTCATACTGTTCGTTAACTGTTGAACCTCATTATTTCTAAACAATAAAGAAATTTTTTTTTTTTTTTTTTTTTATGTATCATGGTTTATTCAGTTAACAGAGCGCTTTGAATAAAAAGCTATACAACATGGAAGTTAGTTTTTCGGGAACCGTGAAGTGTTCGAAATGGTCAGCATTAAATATAAATACAATATCCTCCCGAAATAAAAAGTAAGGAGGAATAGATCGACCATTTTTAGAATTCTTGAAGAACTCAAGGAAAACAACAGCATTTTGGAGCCGAAAGTATCCACTGGCAGAAAGAGTTTGGGTATCGACGAAGAAGTCAAGAATTCTTTTAGGAGAACAGTACACTCTTTTTATATAAAAACCGAATTACCTGCAATAAATGAAGTTTTGTCAGTTATTTGTGAGGACAGTTTTTTTCCTGATATGAGAAGAACTAGATTATGGAAGATATTACAAGAGCTGAACTTCACTTTTAGGAAATAAGATAGAAAGAGCATGTTAAGAGAAATAAAGAAAGCCAGAACACTGAGTAGATCTATTTTTTATTTGGATGAAACATGGATCAATGAGGGTCTCGAAGGTTTGGCAAGACCAGAACATCAAAAGTGGAACACAAGCCTTCATTGAAAGCTTGTCCACTGGTTTGGAAATTCCAGTTGGAAAAGGTTGTCATCTGATCAAAAATAGGGATTATCATCAAAAAGCCACAGTATTTGAAGAATGGTTTGAAAACATACTTGTAAAACTTCCGCAGGGAACCGTAATAGTAATGGGTAACGCAAGTTACCACAGTAGACGTGTCGAGAAGCTGCCAACATCGTGTTGAAGAAAGGCAGATATTATTCGAATCAACAACGTCAGAAGCGGAGCTCCCCAACTTGGCTAAATGTCAAGTCAAAATTCGTCAGGTATGTCACCGATTCGATACCAGAGACTATAGGAATGTCTGTTTTTCGGTTGCCGCCTTGTCACAGTAAATTGAATCCAATAGAGTTGGTTTGGCTCAAGTTAAAGAATTTATTGCTAGTAATAACAATACCTTCAACAAGACCTTGCCTAATCCAATATAGTTGGTTTGGGCTCAAGTTAAAGAATTCATCGCTAGGAATAACAAGACCTTATTCAAACTTTGTGAAGTGGAAAAATGCCTTTACAGTGCTTTGGAAACAGTCGACCAAGAAGCTTGGCAAAAATGTACCCAGATCGCATAGACTCATTATCAGAAAAAAATATTCCAGTTGTCATCAATCCTAATGAAACTGATTCATCCGGTGAAGAATCACTCAACGAAACCCTGTAGATTTTTTTCAGATTACAAGTTATGGCAATATCTTATTCGATGTAAATATTCCAACCAAATCTATAAAATTGTTTCTGAATCAACTATGAAAGGTGACAATCCTAAATGAAAAACTATTTTAAATATAAATTATCCTTCTCAGAATGAAATATTTGTATACAATTAGTTTTCACGTTATTTCAATTATCTTCGCGTCAAGTAGAATATATCATTGGAAAATTTATATCAATACCCCCAGTCCGACGCCTATCAATACTATCTTCACCGCAATACTAGAAAAAACGAACGGCCACCTGTTATGAGATTTTTTGTCGCAACTCACCATTTTGATAGCACGTTAGCGGCATCCTCAAAGGGCATAGAGGGTAGAAATATCCCAGTAACATTGTGCATGAATTGATTGAGATGACTATGTTGTTTTCTTTGATGTACCGGCATGTTTGCATTCTTGAAATTCTTTCACTCTCGGACAATACCGAATGTACTATAATTGTTTTAATGTAGTTCCATATCTCAATGAACATTTCACTATACTGACTGATGAAGAATTTTTGTACTCTATAAATGCTGTTCATTTTTTCCAAAATTTAATTTTTGCCTTTTTTTCAGTCTATTACTATCCGAATTGTCAAGCAATTTTAGGACAATTTTTTTCTATGAATACAAATTGAACCAAAGTGCTACCGAAAACGCCAAAAAAATCAACCAGACATGTGGCAATGAGATAGTGTTAATTAACGCAAACGCACGGTTTGAACTTAGTTTCCAAAATTTCTTTTTGGAGATTTTAGCCTCGAAGATAAGCCCCGAAATGACTGACCTACAGTAATCCAGGACGA